AGCAAGTAAGTGGTCACACATATGCTCGTTAAGACATTTTTATATGAAAAATAAAAGGTTGACTAGACAAATTAAAAGGTAAGCGGAAACAAAGAATAATAAAGTACACAAAAGCAATATGAAAACCACGCTGGATAATAAGTCAGTATTACCAGGGTAGGTTAAGGGTAAGAACAAATTGTTTTTTAATACACAAAGGGGTTTCAGTTTCTGTATAGCCGATGCTTCAATGAACTTTAGTATACAATACTACAAAGGTTGACTTGATATCACAACATTATGACTCGTTTCAATCAACGGTCCTCAAGGCTATCCATAACTACGCCATCAATCTATCGAAAGTACTCACCCTCAAAAGTGAATTTCATATTGTCAGTACATAATAGTAATAAATCTTTAAGATTTTTAACAGAAAATGACAACGGAAGGTTATTTAATGATATAGTCACCTTTGTAAATAAAGTGTTTACATCAAAGGAGCACACTGTCTTAGTTTTTATATTAATATCCATTAAGTACTTGATCCAAATGAGTCATTCAAAGAATACTTACAAAATTGGTTTCGGGTAGCGTTTAGCACTTTTGCCATTTTGCAAAATTGTGTGTAGATGATCGACACACTGATAAGATTGAACGTAAGGGATTATTGGTCTTACGAATTTTTGGTAATTCATATAAATAAGGATACGCTGAACCCATAGGTTTGAGTAAATTAAACTCCTCTTCGTTAATAGCATTCATGTTTAACAATTTCATTAGATTTGAGCTAACTTTCCCTTCTAATTTACGTAATCCATCAGAGTCAACATCAGCCATAAATTTGCTTTAATCATTGAGGATAAATGACATTTTATTTTTGGAATCGTACTTATTCATAATGACAACACCTGATCCTCTATCAGGTTTAATTATAATAATATCAGCATTATTTCGCGATTCTTTTAATGACTTGAAGTGCTGAGAAGTCAATATGCTTCTCTCCTTTGGTTCAGGATAATGAAACTGGTGCGCCATATCCACTAGTTTAGCTTCAAACCAACTTTGATTCTCTAAGGATGAAGGGAATGAGGTACTTGATTGATCATAGAGGCCTTCAATGCCTAATTCAGGTGAGGCCTACGATGCTTCTGGCACCCAAAATCGAGTCTACATTACGTTACCATTTAGAGGTGACTCAAATAGTCATATGTTGAGACGGAGACTTAAATCAACTATCAACAGGACACTTCATGCAGCCCAACTATTCATTATTTAAAAGGCAAGATCTATGTTTCACCAAAAACCTAAACAGCACGTAAGCGATTGTGTCACATGTATGTGCGTAAACACGTACATGGGGAGAAGCAATTGTGAGCTGCAAGTAAGGGTAGCTGGACACATATCTAAATAGCTGCGAAAATAAATGAATTCCGATGATTAAATAAGACTGCAGGATAGACAAACATCCACCTTCATTGCGAAACATTTGGGTGAGACCGGTTATAAGGTTGATATCAAGTCAACCTTTGTAGTATTGTATACTAAAGTTCATTGAAGCATCGGCTATACAGAAACTGAAACCCCTTTGTGTATTAAAAAACAATTTGTTCTTACCCTTAACCTACCCTGGTAATACTGACTTATTATCCAGCGTGGTTTTCATATTGCTTTTGTGTACTTTATTATTCTTTGTTTCCGCCTACCTTTTAATTTGTCTAGTCAACCTTTTATTTTTCATATAAAAATGTCTTAACGAGCATATGTGTGACCACTTACTTGCTTACTTACTCCAGACGGAGTTATGTGTGACCAAATTGTTCGAAATGTATTGCGCAAATATATCACATAATTCTGATAGCATTCGTCTTTTGATTGCATTATCGAGAGATAATAGTGTAGTAGTGGATGATAGACAATCTTGAAACGTGATAATTTTGCGACTTAGTTCGGATTGTTATACTTTAACGAGGAACGGCTATGATTGAATTTTACGATCAGAAAGACACACAAAAACGGCAGCCATAATTAAAATCAGGTTAGAAAATAGGTTTATTAGGCAGGTGGTCTCGACCCTTAAGTATTTTGTTTATTATCACGAACATCGATTAAAGCTTCCTCCAGGACTTCCGTTAACACACTAACTGTTGAAGAATTTAATACCTAGTGTCATGATTTATTACGCTGAAATCTCATCTTCGTGATTGAGAACAAAGTACCTAAATTGCAGAAATGCATAACCCTAAATTTATTGCTTGAGTAAGTAACAGTAACTACCAGTTTAGTACTTTAATAAACAGTAAATCAAAACTCACCTGACCACTTTACCATATTGCTGTAATATTTGATGAATATCATTGTTGGTTAGGCTGAATGGCAGATTACTTATGTACACAGTACTTTTACTTGGGGCCAATCCCTTACTCATAATTCATTAAGCCCAATCATATAAATAGTGATAGCTGTTTAAAATGGATAAGGGAAGATTTTAGAAGGGGAGGACCAAATATGAGTAGCAATGTATTCCGATGTCCACTCATATAAAACTTACTAAATATTTTAGGGCAGAATGAAGATCATACAGTTCAGACTGAAAAATTCCGAGGTTTGTTTGTGAAATCAAAACATTCAACCCAATATTGTAATAAGCTTGACACCATCACAAAGGATAACTATCATTTTTCTCTAGTCACTAAACCCTATATTTACTTTAGGCATAGATATAACCAACTCATTTAAGTAGCTAACTTGAATGAGTAGTTTCTAGTCATTTTTAGTCAGCAACCAAATTGTTTCATTTGCGCTAATTATGAGATCATGTCTAAACATTTGACAGTGCGTTGATAGTGAGGTGACCATTCCTATGTTTGACTTGAAACTAGTTAGTTATTCAGTCAGCTAAAACGTGGGACCAGGTACATATATGCATCGGTCCAGGTTGTTACACCTCATTAGCACAACAAGATGAACACCAAATTCATAGTAGTTACTTCAATGATAGTAATATGTAAAAAAGGGGTGCATATAAAGATACAACACAGGAAGAAAGAATTAGTTCGTAGAGAAAAAAAAGGTATAAAGTAATTTTAATCTAAGGTTTAAGGGTAGACAAACAGTGTACACACCTACGCCATTGTGACCGATTATGATCCATGTCACCCAGTCTCCAACCATTGGTTACGATATTCACGCGGACCCCAACCGAGTAGTCTACATCTACCAATATGGCTCAGACTAGAAGTTAGCGAATTCAAAGACTGATCCCATGTTTTGGTTTGGCCGCCCCTAACTTTCTTCCAACCATCTCCAACGCTAGTCAGCATTGCGCGTCGTGGTAATCTGTGTTCAAGTTTATGTAACACGTGGCCCAAGCCACTAATGTAGTTTGCAACTAGTGGCTTGAAGACTATCAGATTCGCCTCATCCTGTTGACCGTATTCCAAATTTAGTCATAAGATATTTCACAAAGGTGATGAAATGTAATATGAAAATCACCACCATTCCAATTACATATTTTGTGATTTGATACCCCTATATTCTGAGTACAGAAATGAGTTCAAATAGATATTTAATGAACATGAGATATTTTCTTTATTAAACCATGCGATTCGTTTGTATTAGAAACAGTAGAATATATAACAGGGCTCATCTACTTCGTTTATTCATTACTTCTTTATTTCATTCATACCACTATGGAAAATTCAGTTCGAAGGAATATGAACCTACAAAAACACTGATGTGTGGGGAAGTGCTAAAGGTTACGAGTTACGGTTAATCTATAAATACTTAATCGGACTGGAAATAAAATGGCCAGTATTAAACGCTAAAAAGACGTTTACGTGGCTAGTGTCGCTGATAGTTTATCCAAAGATCCAGTTCTTGAACTACAAGTATGAACGCCTGATAACTTGAATGAAAACCATTTAAGTGCATCCTGAAACTGTGAAGCCGCTACGAAAACATCAAATGTAGCATGTGTATTTAATTACGATTACTATAAAGCCCAATCTGAGTAGTAGGCAACTGTTCTTTTCAATCAGTTTTATATAGCACCTTTCATATATGCAATAAAGGCAGGACAGTGAGAAGTATTTTCTTAGTGAAGTCAGGTATGCAAGAGTAAACATAAATGAACTTTTATTCGTTCTCATATAAATATATAGTTAATCCAGATCAGCAACCACATAAAATTTCGTTATCGGTTTTGAGGGACGGTGATAATTCAGTTTTTAAACTGAAGTAGATATAGTGGAGTTGGAATCTTACACTTATTGGTTTGTTTTGAGAATTATTTTATCAATATACTCCTTTCGTTTAATCTAACTTAACTCACATGTGATTTGCGGGTTAATGCACTTTACCCAGAGTCAAAACGCCAAGATGATATCTACCGATACTAAAACGTTATTCAGACAGAAGTAGGTGGGGCGGGATACGAACCTAAAACATAACGGTTAAAAGGAGTATTTTGACCATTGCGCTATCACTTCCCTTCCTATTTATACAATAGTTAACAATACTGGGCGAATTCAAAGTGGATAGGGTATGTTTGGAGCTGAAGTAATTATTGTGAGGTATCTAAAAAAATAAGCATTAAATGTATGAGTGGCTAATTTATTTGAACTTTAGATTTCAATTTTATTAGCTACCTTTATGTTCAGAGAGTTATATTATATACAGTGTGTCAATTATCCTGTATTGGATGAAGTCTACAAATTAGTTACCAACCAAAGTATTCTGTTTAGCAACAATTTTCTTACACTGACTTTATAAAAAAAACCTTGCGCCCCAGAATTCCACACACTTTGGAGATTTAGAAACCAACTATTCGTATAACTGCATACAAATAAAGCTCATTTTCGCTTATAATACTGCACCGAATGGAGTTTACAGTAAAAATCATCTCTTAAATAGGTTATTTTGCTAACAAACACACTTCGTCGAAAGCACAAAATTAAAAAACTCAATTGTATCGTAGCAAATATCGGATTATTTTGTATACGAAAATGTACAAGACGGAATCACTATTTACGACGTTTATGTTTGGAGGTTTGTTTCTTTGAACGGCGGAAACGCTTTTTACTCCTCATGGGATTCATTTTGAGTGCTTTTTTAAGCGACATATGTGGCCTAAATAAAAATAGTCATTAAAAATAACAACATACTCTTCACTAGAAATAATTGGATCAGAATTTCGTTCCTGAATAAGTTAGGAGTGAAACTGCTTTATCTCAATGTACCTTGCAAGCACCCATGAAATAATGGGAGTTACACAAATCTAATTCTTGAATAACAACACTTTGGTCTCCGATAACCTGTTTGTCATTGGAAAGGATGTTTTCAACACAATCTAGAGGCCCAGGCAACCGAATATTTTCAAGCTTTTGACGAGCAGCCTCTCTATACTAATACAGTAACAACACATGAATCACGACAAACTTTGTCCTTAACAGCCTTAATCTCATTTTTTAATTGTTTTTCTGCTGCTTTACGTCCCTTTTCTTTACGTTCAAGCTTTCTTTTTCGAAATCCAGTAAGATATTCTCTAATAACTCGAAAGTTGGAAAATAAAGACCGTACTTTCTCTTTTCCTCATCAAAAATAAGACTAAGCTTCGGTCTTTTCTTCATAACACTAACCAGGCGCTAATGCAATGTGAACACCTAATTAACGATAAGTAAAGTATGACACCATCAAAGAGAAAGAGACTTGATGAAATTTGGAATTATAATGCTTTATCATTATTTGGTTAAAAATCGTAACAAGTATTAATTCAGATCATTTGATGTGATTCATTTACCATTTAAACTTGGATTGATCTGAAGAGGTTAATCATAAAACCCATTTTGTTTCACTGAGGTTTCTTAAATACAGCTAATATTTGAAATACTACCCACTGAATCTTAGAAGTTGATGTCTTGATTTTTATTTGAGAATTTAGCGTCAAAGTAGACAAAAAATTACTTTCCAAATATGCAACATGGCAGTGTCTGTCATTGAAAGGCGTACCCCAGAAGTACATAAACCTTGTGAAGGCTCTTTACTCGAACACTACCAATCGAGTCAGAGCTTATGGCGAACTGTCATCGGCTTTTGCAACCTCAAGTTGTGTCCGACAAGGCTGTCCACTATCGCTATTTTTGTTCAACTTCATTATAGACCTACTGATGGAAATAACGTTCCCGTCAACTGAATTCTCGGGTATTGATATCAATCCAGGAGGTCCACTTATCGACTTAGAATACGCAGATGACATAGTCCTGTTTGGTGAAGACGCTGATAAAATGCAGAGTCTTTTGGTAGCACTGAGCAACAATGCCACAATGTTTGGAATGCGCTTCTCTCCCTCTAAATGCAAGTTGTTACTTCAGGACTGGCCTGCGTCAACACCTGAACTAAGGATAGGGTGTGAAGTAGTCGAACGCGTTGACAACTTCACTTATCTTGGAAGTCTGATCAGCCCTAATGGGTTGGTGTCTGACGAAATCTCAGCACGGATTCGAAAAGCTCGCTTGGCTTTTGCCAACTTGCGTTACCTATGGCGAAGGCGGGATATCCGTCTATCAATAAAAGGACGAGCATACTGCGTGGCAGTCCGTTCTGTTTTAATTTACGGCAGCGAAACATGGCCATTAAGAGTAGAAGACACTCGTAAGCTACTGGTATTTGACCACAGATGCCTTAGAAATATTGCTGGCATCTGCTGGGATCACCGGGTGAGTAATAGTGAGGTTCGACGCAGGGTATTAGGAAATGATGGTAAATCAGTTGATGAGGTTGTGAATCTTCATCGACTGAGATGGTTGGGCCACGTGTTACGTATGCCTGAACACCGATTACCACGACGTGCAATGCTATCCGGTATTGGAGATGGTTGGAAGAAAGTTAGGGGCGGCCAAACCAAAACGTGGCATCAGTGCTTGAAGTCACTAACTTCTAGTCTGAGCCATGTTGGTAGATGCAGACTACTTGGTTGGGGTCCGCGTGACTATCATAACCAATGGTTGGAGACTCCTGGTGACATGGCTCAGAATCGATCACAATGGCGTAGTTGTATACACTCCCTGTCTTCCCTTAAACTAAGAGATTAAAGTCGCTTCATATCTTTCTTTCTACGAACCAATTCTTTCTTCTTGTACTATATCTCTATATGCAATCTTTCTCTTATATATTACTGACCTAACCACTGCTATGAATCCGGTGTTCATCTTGTTGTGCTGATGCGGTATGGCAACCTGGACCGATGCACATATGTGCCTGGTCCTACGTTGTAGCTGACTGACTGACTAGCTAAAGAGAAAAATTGGATACTGCCCGTAAATATAAATCAACACAATGACTAGACGGCAGCTAACAATAAGCTCAATTACTTCACGAACTGACGCCACACTTTAGTTTTGCCGCACCAAGCTTTCTCTCGATATAATCCCACACTAGTAAACACTAACCATCGAGATGGACAGTAGTTAGACATACCTAACATATATCCTAAGCACCTCAACCGATAAGGATTTGCAACTCCCTCGATAGATCTGCCATCTCTGTCTAGTAACCGATGCTGAACCTTAACACTGTTCACTCAAGTGTTTCACGAGACACCTATTATCAAATACCTACAGCATATGCATGTCCATTTTTCGCAGCCATTACAAATGTCGTGTACGGGGAGGAATCTTTAATTCGACAAACAGAAACATAAATTGCAATGGACCCAGAACAGATGACCGTGAGTCACCATAAGTTAACAGAGGAAATGAATCAGAAAAAAAAAACAAAGGAGTAAAGTTAATAACACCAAGTGAAGGAATAGAGATTAAGACAATATACATATAATGTACTGACGTTGAAAACTTAACTTCAAATGTTTTGCAACTTACTATCAGTCGGTACCTTAGCGTATGAAAAACAAGAAGTGAAAAATGTGTAATGTCATGATTGGGATTGAGATGAAAATAGATGGTGAGCACATATGTACTACTACGATTGATTTTCAGCCACACTAACAAGTTTTCAACCGCAAACTGCGCAAACTCTATTTACTGTCACACTGAATCTATGGTGGCCAGTCATACCATGTTTTTATGGGAACTAAATAGACATAGCAAACTAGGTTTTTAAAGGCCAAGCCAATAATCAAGCACTTACGACCTACATCATGCACGATATCAGCCCCCAAACAACATTGTGAAGTTTGGATATTCTCGAACAGTAACCTAGGATGTCATAGTAAATAAACCCTGGCAGGATCTAAAGTCAAATATAATTACGTCACCAGAGACGATAATAGAAAAGTGGAAATGATACGACCCTGGGGAGTAAAACATGAAACAGATGACTTGTGAGACAACCTAGAGTTTGAATTTAGAATAGGACTATGCGTGACATTACACATAGACTGACCGCAAAGACAAAACCAACCCGAACCTCACGTTTTGAACCAAGAAATGAATTCTAAGACATCATATCTCCAAAAGCTACATTCTAGCACTATATCCCGAACTCTTCGTCTTAGCACTGAAACCTCGGTACTGGTATAATTTGCTAACTACTTCTAAGCAGGTTTTTACTTTATTACACATCAACCCGAAGTTCATAACTCAGTATATACTGAGTTATGAACTTCGGGTTGATAGTATATACTACAAATGAGTCTTAGTCCTTGTTTGCTTTTGCTGTTTCCTGATTTATTACATGTTTAGGTCTTAAGAGAGTTCAAAAGCGTAGTCGGGTTTTATCATTTTGTCGTTTCCTGCTTATTCATTACGACACTCACCTATGTGAACCTAGGTAAATCCACGGAACAAACGATCGACTTTCAAACCTGACCGCACTTTCCTTCCCACGACCTTGGACGCCCTAAACGACAGCAGGCATTTTGTATATGAAGTCCTTGCGGTCAGTTGCGTGAGTATATGCTGGCAATATTCCTAGGCGTTAGTATATTTACGTAGTCTGTTGACGTCTAAAAATCACCAAAGTCGTTACTAACAAAATAAACAAAGTTCTTTTGCTTTTTTTAGTGTTGGTTGCTGCTACGCATCTTTTTCTGAGATACATAAGTTGAATAATATTGTAAGAGGATCTTCTTTGACCGGGTAAGTAAATAATTTATCGGAATATAGCCACACACGATTCTGTCCATTTATAGTCTCTGTGACACATTGGTCTGTTCAAAGTTCCGGTGAAGACTGATAATCAGTTAATTCGGAATTGTTGTCGACTTCCATTAATCCTGACAGTGCCTTCTGCACTGCAGTTCATAAAATTGCTCCAAATAAGCAACTTTTGGTTTCGTCTTCTGATTACGTAGTTCCGTTTGTCGTGTTTCTCGTTCGGCACATCAGTCTACCTGACTGGTGAGTTTAGTACATTTTGCCAAACAGACAGTTTCGGTTGAATTCGTAACAGCGTTGAATGAATTTCAGCACGTAGGAGAAACATATTCTTATATGTTTTAGACTACTCATACTCACAATATACATAAAGGAAGTTGCTTGTTACGTGATACTAGATTAAAGTACAGATTTGTTGTTCTCAAATCTGTGCGTTCGACCGGAAACGGAAACTACAATGTCTAAGAATACTTGATATAAAGTGACATTCAAGATCTAAATTATTGAAATCCTGGTAAATACCCCAGTGATCCATAACGGGATGAATACGTGATAAAGTCATGCCGGGTGATACATAATAACCTGTAGCGGTAAATAAATTACCGAAATCAATAGCTCTGTAAGTCCTCGATATTTCTTGCTGACCGCGTTAGTTTTACAGAACTCACCCAACTGTGAGCGCTCGGTCACGCATCCTCATCATGAGTGCTGATTATATTTCAAATGGCGGTCCAGAAATGTTCGTCTACGTAATGTTGACTTTAGTATTAGGCTGTGGTGATTATTTTGTGTTTTTTAACCAACTGCTACGTGACGGTTTAATAATTATACCAGTGCAGTATGATAATATCTCAACGAGGTGACTTAATCATTCTAACTAGATTTTTTTAGGCGACTAATGTGATAGTCCAATTCATAAACCCAAATGTGTATAGCAGTAACGACTGAGTAGTTTAGTGAAAATGTTAAAGACGGTGCAAATAATTGCAAATAATTCAAATAGCACAGAGGTAATATAACGTATGTATAAGTTAGGAAGCGTGTGCGTTGATGTGGAACATAAATATTGAAAAATCTGACTATATACTTTAAAACTTTAAAAACGAATTATGCCACTAAAAGTACACCGTACAACGCATCCCTTACAACTAATAGCCAGCTTAAACCAAAAATTCATTCGACACATCGGTGGTTCTCCACTTATATTTTTGAACTCCTTCGTTTCTGATTTCTGATTTAACTGGGTTGGCATACTTCAACTATAAAGGTGTTGTTAGTTAAGGTGTTATCAAAGTCCGAATACTTGTGGCATCTCTATGCCCATGTGGGTGTTCGTGGATGCGCTGCTGTCAGTGAATGAGGCAACTGGCTACAGTGTACAAGCCAATACTGATATAGTAATCATTCCTAGACCAAGAGATCAAAGGTGTTGAAGAACAGAGCAGTCCAAATGGTTCAAATGGTTGTGGACGGAATAGAAGAAGCTTTCGCTTAACAGGCTTCCGTGTCTAGTAACAGGGGATCACCAAATCCTCCAGGCAGGAACCTAGGTATGTTAACAATAAAAGAGGAAAAGAAATTGGTAAATCATAGTGTGATGCTGTCCTTGGTCCTTAAGAATAGGTCAAGTTGCCTCTTGAAGGACTCCTGAGAAGTCGCTTGGACTAGCTCGGCCGGCAACGAATTCCAGCTTTTGACAACTCTTAAGGAGTAGAAGTTGTGTCTACATTCCGTCTTGCTATGTTGTGTTTCCAGTTTCTGGGTGTTACCCCTTAGGTTATTATTCGAACTAAGCTTAAGTAGGTGTTTAAGAGGATGTCCAGAAGTGTTAAGAATACTATAAGCCATTAATAAATCACCTCTAAGACGCCTATATTCTAGTGGGTAAAGGTCTAGTGAACGGAGGCGTTCTTCGTAAGGCTTAGATTTGAGTCCTCGAACTGATTTCGTGGCTCGCTGTTGGATACGCTCCAAAGTGACCTTGTCCTTTTGGAGTGAGGGGGGAGTACTATGTTTCCGTACTCTAAATGGGGACGAATGAAACTATTGAAGATTGTGTGGAAAGTTCTTCCGTCAAACTGACCAAAAATGCGCCTTAACGTTACCAGTGCAAGGTTTGCTCGGAAGTCATGAAGCCATTTTAGATGATTTCAAAATAATAAGAGCTCAAATGCCTACTGGTAAGTGTGTACACGTATATTTTGAGGCTGTGCTATTCGACTCAGAATTTCAGTTTTCTATGGCAAAATAGTAAATTGGGATAATTTTCATCCGACGACGTACTCGTAACCAGAAATGGCGAGACTATAATTTATGGATTTACATAGATTTACAATAAAATGTCTTGGATTTTCACGCGAATTTTATCCCTCCGCCTGGAGACACTCCTGGGGCTATTGCCGGACTCAAGCCCAGATAAAGGAGAAGGGTTGAGCATGTGGTTAGTTGCCACATCTCGTAGAAAACTGACTACTTAAAACAACGCTAACCAAAAACAATTGTTCAAACCACGTAAATTCTGCCCTGAGAATCAGAAGGTTTTCATTTAGAAGAGTTGTGACGCCTCATGATGAAAGCCGAGTACCTTCGGAAGTCATGAGTCTGATGCCCCTTTTGACAACCAGAGCAACCATTTATTTAGATACATGGAATGCTCGTACAGTGAAGAGATACAACCTGGAGGTGCTTTAGATCAATGAAACACACTAGACGCAGGTTGGACGCCAACGACTAGCTTCAGGGGAGTTTTTGTTATACTCTGACCATGAAGAAGAAAATGCCCCACATGCAAGATCCGTTTTGAATGTTTTGTATGTGTGTGAAGATCCCTCCATGTATATACTCGTACTTTGTTCCTATTGATCCCTTTAGTTGTACATTGCTAGTTTTTTTATTATATTCGAATTGTTAATATTTGTATTTTTTTGTTATAGTTTTGTTTTTCTTATGCCTTCACTAAGTCTCCGTGTTTCTTCCCGAACTGCACTTATGTTGTTTTGCTTCATACTTAGTCTTGGCAGCAGCCATATTCGTTTGTTCCTCCTTTCGATTGCGTTACCTGTGTTGACTGGAATTGTGCATTTCTGGTTGTGAATTGAGGCAATCCTTCAGAATTGGAAACACTCTGTGTTATAAAGCGACCAAATATTATCTTTTGAACGGATATGTGCGTGGTTTATTCAGACAGGATAGAATAACATTTATTTGTTGTGATTGATTTGATCAATTGAACAATTATTAGTTGGATCCCTGTGTGGTCATATTTGTTTAGGTAACAATGTACATTTAAATTTCTGATGAATTATAGAACCGTCATTTTACCCAATTACTTTGTTTTGGTTTCAAACGGGCAAGAACGCGTATCTAACCCACCTAGTCAGCTATCCCTCAGTCTAAACCTTAGTTTGGATCCTACACCACATACACAATGAGTTGCATTGATGCTATCCAAAGAAGCACAAAATGTACTTATAGGATGGGAATCTCATGGACGAAGGATCATGAAAGAATCCTTCGAAACAAAGAAAGAGGGCATTACAATGGACGTCATCCAATGCTATGCGCCTACCAACGACTGCAATAAAGACGTTAAAGATCAATTCTACAATAAGCTGCAGTCAATCATCGAGAAGTGCCCAACAAACGACCTGACCATTCTGATGGGAGACCTAAATGCCAAGGTTGGAATGGACAACAATGGATATGAAGACATCATGGGACGACACGGACTGGGAGAAAGAAACGAAAATGGTGAGAGATTTGCAAATCTATGTGCCTTCAATAAACTATTCATAGGTGGAACTATATTCCTACATAAGCCCTTTCACAAAACCACAAGGACTTCACCGGATCACACCACGCAAAACCAAATCGACCACATCTGCATCGACAAGAAGTTCAGGAAAACGATGGAGGAAGTGAGAATCAAGAAAGGGGCTGATATAGCGTCAGATCATCATTTGCTGGTCGCCAGGATGAAATTGAAACTCAAAAAGCACTGGACAACGGGGCAGACAGTATCACAAAAGTTCAATACGGCCTTTCTCCAGGATACTAACAAACTCAACAAATTCAAGATAGTCCTCAGCAACAAGTTCCAGGCCTTTCATGATCTACTCAATCGAGAAGAAACTGTAGTGGCATTGGACCATAACCACACAATCTTCAAAGCTGAACACGAGACTACTCAGAAAATAGATATTCAATATTTAACGCGGAGAAATACCTAACAATGGAGAAGGCGCGAACAATGAATTGAATGGACTGGAGTTGATCGAGTGGCATGGCTCGGCCATGCAGGCGTGGTCCCTGCTGGATATTATCCTATATCTCATTCATATTAAATATATTGTTCTTTCTCTATCCTAACCTTGTTCCTCATCAGGTATTGGTAATTGATACGATACAGTGAGTTGGTGTAGTCAATGGTGTGACTTCCACGTAAGATCTTATAGATTAGGCAGTTATATCATGACGAATCTACAATTTTGGGATTAGGTCTATTATTAGAGCAGTACTAATATCATAGTAGACCATAGTTCTACATTGGTGAGCCCAACTAAAGAAACGCAACCTATTATTATTAATCCTTATTTCCACTTCAACTTTCTCGATCGATTTTATATTTATGTTAACACTGTATTCTAATAGTCCTCTGATTAATGCTCACATGCATTATCGTAATGTTATATTGATTAGTCCTCATGACAAACTAGCTCAATCGATAATAAAAACTGTCCGTCTATATTAACTAATTAGCTTTGATGATTTGTTAACAAGCTGTGATAGCATTTACATGCTTCAGCGACATAGTCTTGTTTAAACATCAAGCTCTAGCAAATATGACCTGTAAATAGCGTAAGTATACATTGACTAACAATGCGATCAAGGACTAAATAGTTATCTGGATCTAATTCTCAGTGTTCCTTCACTTAACACCTCATCCTGTTTTAAACGATGCACTATCCTGTAATATCTTTTCTTCCGACCACTGCCTGCCTAATTTCATATTCTCGAGTTCCATTGCCAAACAACGAGGATGACACTTCTCCAAAAACATACGGTGAGTTTCAGCTATAAGTTTTCTGCAATCATAAGGTCATTTTAGATGGCTCGTTCAATAACAACCATACAATTAACTGAATTCATTCGATTGTTCTGATCCGAGCGAGTGGCAAAAACCTCAACAGCATCAAGCACCCTGGAATTAATTGCCATACTGCATGTTTTATTCTGGATGCTTTTGGAGCAATACTACTCACGAATGGCGTTACATATGTCGTCCACTGAATAATCTAATTTTCAAAAATAATCCAGGCGAGTTCAACTATTTTACTGGATGATTTGTTTTGTACTTAACATGTATATATTTTCCAGTTGCTTTTGCTACATATTTGTAAGTGTCCCTAGGCTAAATCCAGTAACTTCTTATGGAATAGTTATAACGCGTCATATTCCTGCCTAAAGTTTCATAAGCAGTCTGGTCGTGTTCATTATTTTTAAATTGTCATATACGTCAACAACCTGCATGTTAACCTGGCCCGTACATGCGTTGCACTATATCTCCATGTCTTCTAAATTTAGAAATCATCTGAATCGCCTTTAACATTTAACAATAAACCCATCATAGTCGTTGTTGCTAATCGTATTTGGGTTTATGGATTGGTTTATCATATTAGCAGCCTAAAATGCGAACATAGTTTAGATAATAAGATTAAAAATTTAGGTACTATCAACTGCACTAGTAAAATAACTAAATCCCCAAGTAGCTTGGCTAAACAAACGTTTAAAATCAAAACTCAGTAGCCTACTAGAATGAACACTAAACGAATATTTCTGAATTGAAATTTATAAATAAATTAGGCGTCTCGGATTCTTTAACGTTATAAATTTCTGATGATTTTGAATCACCTAAAGCAACAATACCTATTTTCCACTGACTAATCCTTAATCAACACTATAACTAGTTAAATTTAATAGTTTCAGGATATCGTCATAAAGCATTGTCATAACTTGACAATCACGTAATATGACTGATAAAGTTAATGAAACTAGTAACGAAATCGGTCAGCAAATTGACTTATAATTACCATTAAATGGTGTTGTTTTCTTGGTATCTTCATCCATCACAGATGATTACAGTATGTTTCTCTATCAGTTGCTCATTCAGTAAATATCTCAAAACCTTGTCAGTCTAATTGATGGTTTAGCGACACAATCATGCATGCAAATAATCAGAATAAGCAGTCGAGCAAATCTCCTGCAAACTGAAAACATCAATGTCGAATTTACCCCAACACTGACTAAGGTTCAAGCCATTATCATAGAAATGAGTTGGGAGTGTACTCCCCCTGGTTACAACTCATGTTCTCCCTGATAATCACATGAGCATCACTCACTATTAATCATCCTGTAAAAACTTATTTAGCTAAATACATTTTGCAGCACCACATCACTTCGTAATATGACCCATAGGCTTAACTGATTTTAATAACTTGTAACCACTATATCTCAATTAAATCGTATTCCGCCTTATGATAAACTGCATACTTGCAACTATCTTGTATGCCCAATCAGCCGGCAAGTATAAATATAAATAAATAGTCTATCGCAGATCAGAACATTGAGTCTAGAGCATGTCTCTTACGAACACACTCATGTTTAACGATTTTTCCTAGCTATCTGTCCAAAATCCATATAATTATCACTCATGTATTTAAATTTTGTTCTGATAACCGTTCATGTGTATTAGTAGTATTACTAAATTCTATCACGGTCAAGTAAAAATGAGGTTGAGAAAATCTCCCCGTAACTAAATAAACCGTATCAAACTAACTGGAACACTAGTTGGAATTCTTCTCCACGGTATACTTTTGTTCCTTCAGTTAGCTTACTAATACAGATGCAATTGGAATTCAACTCATATGGACAACTTACCGGCATAATCGTTATCCGATTTCATAATTTAAACCAAAACTAATACCAATATTAACATTTCTACAATATTCATTATTTTAATATTTCTAAACACAAAATAATTACTGCCTATAAGTTAATTTATTAACACGCATCGTTTTATTATTATTATTATTGTAATCCCATTCTTTATAGTTCAAATAATCTTCACCCAAATTCTCATTTCAAGCGTTTTAAGCATGAAGGCAGATATTTTAAAATTATTACATGTATTTCCCGACCAGATGCTGCCGCTTTCTTTTTGATTTATCTTTCAGCTTATCAATACCCAAAAGATCCTTATTATCCATGGTAACCTCCGGCGCGCGACGATCCCATCCAATTTGGTATCGAACCAACATCACGTTGATTCTGGTGGGAGAGTAGTGTAGTGGCATTGGACCATAACCACACAATCTTCAAAGCTGAACACGAGACTACTCAGAAAATAGATATTCAATATTTAACGCGGAGAAATACCTAACAATGGAGAAGGCGCGAACAATGAATTGAATGGACTGGAGTTGATCGAGTGGCATGGCTCGGCCATGCAGGCGTGGTCCCTGCTGGATATTATCCTATATCTCATTCATATTAAATATATTGTTCTTTCTCTATCCTAACCTTGTTCCTCATCAGGTATTGGTAATTGATACGATACAGTGAGTTGGTGTAGTCAATGGTGTGACTTCCACGTAAGATCTTATAGATTAGGCAGTTATATCATGACGAATCTACAATTTTGGGATTAGGTCTATTATTAGAGCAGTACTAATATCATAGTAGACCATAGTTCTACAAAACTACTGTGGAGAGCAACTGGAAGGAGATCAAAGAGGCAATCACTTCAACATGTCATGAGGTCCTGGGTTACAAGAAGCACCATCACAAGGAATGGATCACCGTTGATACACTGGATAAGATTCAAGAAAGGAGGAACAAGAAGACAGCAATCAATACCAGTCTAACAAGAGCAGAGAAAACCAAGGCACAAGCTGAATACACAGAAGTAAACAAGCAACTGAAGAGGAGCATCAGAACTGACAAACGTAAATATGTGGAAGATCTAGCAATGATGGCGGAAAAGGCTGCAAGAGAAGGAAACATGAAACAATTGTATGACACGACAAAGAAACTCTCTGGAAATCGCCGCAAACCAGAACGACCAGTGAAAAGCAAGGAAGGCAAGGTAATCACCAACATTGAAGAGCAACAAAACAGGTGGGTAGAACACTTCAAAGAACTGTTGAATCGACCAGCTCCACTGAACCCACCCAACATCGAAGCAGCACCCACGGACCTCCCAATCAATGTTGGCCCACCAACAATTGAAGAAATCAGCATGGCCATCAGACAAATAAAGAGTGGCAAAGCAGCAGGACCGGACAACATCCCAGCAGAGGCACTAAAAGCAGACGTAGCGGCAACTGCAAAGATACTCCACATTCTCTTCAATAAGATTTGGGATAAGGAACAAGTACCGAAAGACTAGAAAGGAGGACATCTGATAAAGATACCAAAGAAGGGCAATCTCTGCAAGTGTGATAACTACAGGGGCATCACTCTTCTCATTTACTTAAGCTGTACATTCATATATATAGTTATAAGGAAAATGTATGTCTATAGAAGGATAGAAAAGAATGCATTACAAAAATGAATTCGAGACTCAATAACAAATGAAGTTACGTACTAATCAAGGGGTAAGGAAGAAAATAATTCGCGGGTCAGATAATAGTCCAATTGACAGATATGATGGAAAACGACAAACACAAATGTCATAATAATAATAATCAGAAAAACTTGTATAAGGTGATAAGAATAACTTATTAGAGTTTAAAATTGTAAAACGATAATTTAGAAAATTCGATATTAATCAAATAAAAGTGCAGAAAGAAAGAAAAAAAACCCAGAAACATACGCATTAAGGGAATTAAGGTAAATAAAGGATGAGAGGTTGGACGGATCGTTTCTGCACGCAAAGTTCAGGCTTGAGTTCATGGATTGCCAATGCCCCAGCAGTGCATAAAATATTGTTTCGACACCCGTTTGATCCAATTCATTTGACTCCAGATTATTTTAAAAGAGGAATCCTTTGGAGCAATCTATCCACAGTTTATTAAATTCTCCTGTATAGAACTAGTAATTGTTTTACATTCACCTTTTAAAAGCCAAGTCGGATAGTGTTCAGCTTAAGTAAATGATTTCGTCGAAAAGAAAATTTTCTTCGCCGAATTCTCCTCTTAATTATCTGAATAGCTTCAATGATCCAGTATTTCTTCTAAAAACATAGTTTTTTTCTCTAACTGACTTAATTCTCTTTTATCGTTGTAAATATTACAGTATAATAATATGAATATATTTGTGCACATAATCTTTTTGTATGGAAATTTACTGTAATCAAAGCATGTATGTTTGAAACAATCTACTGTAGTATAACACAATAGTGAATTATAATTTAAATCTAAAAAAATCTTGTATGAAGCTGTGACAGAAGAATCTTATAATGAATTACTAATGGTGAGATATTCAATTCTGATTTCATTTGTTGCTAACATGTTCATTTATTTATTTATCTATCTAATGCTTTAATGTATACATTCAACATGAATCGAGTACAAGTTTCTCAATAGACATTAATGTGAAATTCATTTATTTATTATAGGGGGTTATTTCGAAACCTTTAATTATTATTTATTTGTGTGTTTAATTAAAATAAAACTTCACTTATTAATAATTTTAACATTTCCAAAAATATCTAAAATGTCAAACCGCTGAAAATCATAAATTGTTTTGAACTAGACTTCCATTAGGAAATATAAAGTATTAAACAACCGTTTAATCCTGGTATTGGACTTTCAGGACTCGGTAACCAGGGATTAAACTAAAGACCTCCGGTCTCGCTCAAAAACACATAATCTCTAGAAAACTGAGCCGGCTTTGATTGCTTTTTATGTTGATCCAAAATCAACTTGCAATATCTGTCAATCATCTTCAAATGTACTTGATGAATAACTGCCTCAATTTCAATGGGGTTAAACTTCAATGAAACAGCCATTCAGTCCTTCCTGGTTTTCAATGGTAATCCAGCTAAAAATCATTTAATAATAAGATTTACTTTCTCACATAATATTCGTATTTACAAGTGTAATGGAAATCATATACCCAAAATCGTTTAAATATCATTATAGTCATTTGAAGAATACTTATATTAATTAGATTCATAAAGCATAGCTATATGAATCTATCATCTATCTTCCGAGAAAATCATATGAGTTTATTGTTTTACACAGACTGTTACCATAAATGCATGAAAAATACTTGGATTCCATAAGGATCGATGGTGAATAGACCAAATTGCAACTCTACGGATCACTGTGGAACAATCAACTGAATAGAATTCATCACTCTACATCAACTTCATTGACTACGAAAAAGCATTTGATAACGTGGACAGAACAATACAATGGAAGCTTCTTCGACACTACGGCGTGCCTCAGAAGATAGTCGATATCATACAGAATTTCTATGATGGATAAAACTGCAAAATCGTGCATGGAGGAAAATTGTCAGACTTGTTCGATGTAAAGATCGGTGTCATGCAAGGTTGCTTACTCCCACTCTTCCTCTTTCTTCTGGTGATCGACTGGATTATAAAGACGTTAGTATCTGTAAGGATGTAAAAGATATAGTGGACAGCTAGGATTCAACTGGACAACCTAGACTTCACAGATGATCTGGTTTCTCTATCGCACACGCATCAACTAATGCAGGATACGACAACCAGTGTAGCAACGGCCTCAGCAGCAGTAGGTCGCAATATACACAAAGGGAAAGCAAGATTCTCCGATACAACACAGCATGCACCAACCCAATCACAATTGTCGGAGAAGATTTGGAAGATGTAAAATCCTTTACATATCTGGGCAGTATGATTGATAAACACGGTAGATCTGATGCAGATGTGAAAGCGGCGATCGGTAAGGCGAGAGCAGTATATTTACAACTGAAGAACATTTGGAAATCAATACAACTGTCAGCCAACACCAAAATCAGAATTTTCAATACAAATGTCCAGACAGTTCTACTGTATGGGGAGGAAACTTAGATAACTACGAAAGCTATCATCCAGAAAATACAAGTGTTTATTAACAGCTGTCTACGCAAAATACATCGGATCCGTTGACCAGACACTATCAGCAACAACCTACTGTAGGTGAGAACAGACCAGATCACAGTGGAGGGAGAAATCAGGAAGAAGCACTGGAAGTGGATAGGACACACATTGAGGAAATCACCGAACTTCGTCACATGGCAAGTGCTCACAGGGATTCTCAGGGTCAGATTAGAAGAGGAATGCCAAAGAAAAAATTACGACGAGAAATGGAGACAGACATGAGAAAATGAACAAGAATTGGATGGAACTGGAAAGGAAGGCTAAGGACAGAGTGGGTTGGAGAATGTTGGTCGGTGGCCTATGCTTCAGTGAGAGTAACAGGCGTAAGGAAGTAATTATGGATAGCATTCTGGCATTTTACTCCATGTCGGTTCGTGATGAATACCCGAAATCTAGTTTTCAACCCTAACCATCAACTATAAACCATAATGTTTGTTCTTCATACAGGTTGGCAGACATTCTTAAGATCACTTTAGAGTCGATTAAAAGTCGTCCATAAATCATAGTCGCACTCCAGAGTTGTCTTTGGTAACTATCACCAAATCACCTGAGATAAACAATAAACGGAAGCTGTCATTATGGATTCTACTCACAATACCAGCAGCAAGAATTGGATATGGTCTTTGATAACTTTTACTATGTGGGTATTCGTTGTCTCAGTTAATGGTAAGTGATAACTTCTGTGGTGGTCATCCGATTTTGTTTGTATGAACATAGACATAAAACGGAATTGATGAGGGAACGTAGACCGGTATTGCTTTCCGTAAGTGGGTAAAGACGTTCCACGTAAAGTAGATTATTAAGCAGGGTATGTTAATTGATAAGCAGTATAGCAATAAGGGTACGTGTATCCAAGCGCTTCGTTGATTTCATGATGTTTATAAAAACAAGTGACTGATAGCAATCGACACACTTATATTTAAATGTAGGGGACAAAGGAACGTTCATACAATAAATATTAAGTTTAGTTGTCTTCCATTCGTACATTGCTCTAAATATATACTCCTGTTTACCGCAATTATTCGCTATGCGTTTTGCTAAGCATCGATAACAAGCAGTCTCATCTGAACATGAATTTGATATAGGGTATCAGTTTAAAATCACAATATTTGCAATGCTGTTCCATCTCAAACTTTTCTTTCCTCATGTCGGTGGGTGGATATATATTCACGTGTTCAGGTGACGAGTTTCATTCATTGCTGAAACAAAGTGCGAGTTGATGGCGACAATTATTAGGAGTAATGCACTGTAAAGCATTTATTGACTACTGCGATGTTCTAGAATAATCATATTTTTGCAGATCGTTTTGAAACTATGAACTACAAGTTTCTTCGTATCCGCCTTCTAAAAGTATTTATGATCACCCCTACCTAAGGAATACTATTTAACCACTAGCTCTGGGAAAATAGGGAGACTTTTACCGACATGCTGCACTGGAGGAGTCAACTTTCGAACTACATACCTATTTTACACAACTTATACGCTTTTTTTGTGAAGGAACATTTATTTGCAGCAATTCTAATTTTAAATATTATTGTAAAACTGTGCGTTCAAGCCACTTACCTTGATTGTAAATGGTAGGTATATTCAGCTGACAAATGGGCCACCAACCCTAAAGTAGATCACGAATATTTGACACTAAATAAGGGCTAACACTGTTCATAATGTGCAGGAATCAACAAGATAGGTAAATTACAACAGTAAGCTGAAAAAACATCGGTTCCTCGAAGCATATGATATTACGTTCCATGCTGAAATTGCTTTTTACTGTCATTCAAAAAAAATACGGCAAATAAATGAAGGTCAGGCTGAGAATGCACTTTCAAATGCCACGACTGTAAGGCCACGGCAGCGCTCCAGGGGTATCGCGACACTTTTTTTCGCTACTTTTTCATTTCTGCTTTTTGAACAACCAAAATTCGAAATAATTTATGAATAAATGTGAAAGTTCATTTTCCACTTTCATAATTAGGTGAAAAGGGGTCTTTGCGTTATATGGTATCGCGAAGTCCTTGAAAATTCATTATTCAGCTGCTGCTATAATAGTTTTTTAGTGTTCGCATCGCAGACTAGCACTTATTTCTACTTAGATATACACTGATGGTAGGCAAATTTTTTATTTTTATATGAAATAGCATGATTGAGGCATATATCGTCATAAAAATTGTATTGTCAAGGCTACCAAAACTGCGTTACAACTAACGATACCATGATAAGATTTATCGTTTTTCCCGTCTTTATCACAATTTCGGCTGATTTTCACTGTTTTGTCCGACTTTCATGGCAGAAATAGGTTGATAGTTAAAACATTAGGTGTTCCGAGTGTTGTAAATATTATGTATATGCTATAGATGATAATAACACATACCAAGATGTTAATATCACCTTCTACAGTTAGATATATTAGCCACTAGATGATTATATTGCAGGAAATAAATCATAATCATGCGGAAGAGGTATAATTATGTGGAGATTTTACCAGAGACCAAGCTAAGATAGCATTACTATCTCTTGTGTGGATCTACACAAGTATTTGGCTGTACCAAAGCATGTCATTGAGATATGGTTGTGACTTTTTTTCTTTTTTTAATTCAGAGCTCACAGGACGACTACCTCAATTCTCAATAGCCGTGCAATTGTTTTGATGTTCTACCTACATTTCAATAAACATTATTTTTCAAACAGCTTACTTTCTTACTTACATGGGAAACTGTAGTAGTGTTGAGAATGTGTGTTTGAGTGTCAGTGAACTTTTGATTAAATGCACATTCCTTATGAATGATACATCACCTGTTCCTTCTTTTGCAGATAATTTAAAATAACAATGAATTAGCAATTGCATTGGATATGCAAAACAATCGATGCTTAAGCTTCTGCTCTAGTGTTGTACAATAATACGCTTTACCTTTTAAATAAAATTTTTCAAAAATATGCCGGTTTTCCACTGCATTGCAGATTTATTTCGGTCTGTTGTTGAAAATAAAGGCGAACATAGGAGACCTTTGGGGTTATGTCAGTGGATGAAAAATAGGGAGTTCTGTGTGTATTTAGGCGAAAAGTAGACAATTCAGCGGACATTTAGGCGAAAAGTGAGTAATTTATCGACAAAACGGCGAAGAAAGGGGGAAATCCGCATTATTTCCCCCGGACAGGCGAAAAAGGCGACATTCTGATGCGTTTTCCCCTTTCGCTACCAAAGCATTTACCCCCTTATTTCCCCTTTTTGGGTTGTCTGTAGAGCTACAATGTTTTGGCTGCCGGTATTATTGCAAAAATACCTAATAGCAGTAATAAGTACCGATATAAAGCTGTCACGAGAAAGCACTGAAAAGTACGACTCGATAGTCAAGATATCTTGATCTAAGGTGACCAGATTGTGTGAGATCCTATGTGAAGATCTTCGGAAATCAACCAAGACCTGTCTGGCTTACGTGCTGATGCCGTAAATGACAATTACTCATAACTTACGTGGGACTAGAATAGAATATGCATCAAGAACTGCAGGTTACACAGGACGATTCAAAGTAAATTGACACAGTAGTCTTTATATATGTTCGTCGTCGAAGTTTCCGAAGTGCAACCTGTTCAAAGAATTAAATAATACAATCCGTGTATGTTGTGACCCAGACTTTCCTAAGCAACGCAAGAGATAAAGGAAATAAGCGTGATTAACTATCCAGAGGAAGGGTGTGCTAAATGCACTTTCGATCTGTAATTGAATACTGGTTTCCGTTTTTATACTAGCTTCTGGTAAACATTTATACTGAAATAATTTTCCTGTCTATCTTATTTCCAGCTGGTTTCGCAAGTGTTCACAGACCTAACGGAAACAATTCCTAAGAAATAGAAGTTATTTATTAATGGACCATTTGTGCTAGATTCAAACTTTAATAAACGTTTTCATTTATAACGCGTCAGTCTTTTAATTACGGCAATTCTTATCTATCGTGACAGGTCGAAATTCGAACTACTAGTATGGTACACCATGTTCAAGGTAGCAGTATTTGGTAAACGGTATGTATGACTAATCGCGTGTGCGCCAAACTAGTAATTATTACACAAGAACGCGAAACAACATCCCTGTCTCACAGCCACATAAGACTGAACAGTACACTCCCTGTCGTTACGCTATAAGGATAAGTCAATGGCCATATAAACGAATTTATGTAAAACTAAACAGATTACAATATTATAACTTCTTGTTATCAAGAAGCATAGCTATGGTCTGTATTAACAATGGATTCTGACGTTGTAGCTTCGTCATTAGCACCGATTGAACTCATCACTTGTGCGCATATATCTTCCGATGCTTCGAGGCATGAACGGATGAGTTTACTTGCCAAAGGTTCACTAAGAGCATGGATTGAGTGGTAGTTGCTAGTGATCATCACTCCCTGTAGAAATTGAGATGTTGTCCAGAGCACGAAGAACCAGGTCCATTATGTATGTTCTTGTCCACTTGTTGCTATGTCGAAATAAGTCTACAAAACTTATAGAGATAAAGGAACACACATACCTTTAGAATGTGCATACAAAATATGACCACAGGGCAGCATGTAGTCATTGAAACGCAATATTTCGACCTGAAGGATAAATTCATTTGAAGTAAGGCATACGTAGATGACCGACGTCGTCTCCTTTTCCTAGGTTGTGTTGGCGAGTTAGAAGTTGTATGCTCTTCAGAAGAATGATTATTACTATCATCATCTACATCCTGAACGCAAGCACCTGACTCTAACGAACTGCGTTTACGTCCATATGTACAGACATAACTCACGAAAAAGTACTTTAGAGTTGGATCATCACTGTTCTCTTTGCATACTGACATAACGTACTTAGTATGCGTTTACTAAAAAAATAATTATTAACCACAGAAGTCATATTACCTATATCATGCATCATCACGATGGCATAGTTTTCGTTACTTGAAGAATGAACGTTACTAGACATGGTGTGGCTGAACTCAATTCAAATCTAAAAATGTCTTGATTTGACCGCTTCTGAAAATTTCCACGAATTGTCGATGTGACGCACCAATCATTTTGCGACAGTTTGACCTTCAAGTGCTCGCAACCCTCATCAGTGGACGATACCCTAGGAGCGTTGCCTAAGGACACGGTGACGACACTGTGGTATCACGACACATCTTGCGATACTTTTTTATTTCCGCTTTGTACACAGCTAAAAGCCTAAATTAACTATAAATAAATTCGCAAACTTTATTTTCTGATTTCAAAACTTAGTGAAAAAAGGGTCTTTCCATTTTGCGGTACAATGTACTGCAAAGTCCTTGGAAGTTCATCATTCACTTACTGCTACAATAGTCCTTCCAAGAAAATAGAAATCGTAAACTACGAGTTGGCGTATTACTCAAAAGAAACTGTCATAAATATAACCGTTTACTTGACGTCAGCCGTCGTATTCAAGGATCTACAGGGACATATCCTGTGCACAGATGGTTGTGCACGGTTTTAATGGAGGTGACTTTTAGCTCACCATATACTGAACGAACCGCAAACCCAGATTGAACGTGGCAATATTTCGACCTGAAGGATGGATTCATATACGTATACGTAGGTGACCGACGTCGATTTCCTTGTTTAGGTTATGGTGATGAGCTAGAAGTTGTATGTCTTCATCCTGAAGACAAGCACCCGACTCTGACAAACTGTGATTACATCCACAATTACAGACGTATCTGACGAAAAAAGGCTTTGGAGTTGGGTCATCATTGTTCTTTTTACATTCTGACATTACATGACTATTGCGTGTATAATGTAAAAAATAGTTATCAACCACAGAATTCCTATTACCTTATATACTTCTTACAAACAGGTTTCAAAATTGTCCAAACTTGTAACTCCTCGTGACAACATAGTACTACTGAGGATTCGTCTTGTCATACATCATTAATTTCGTTAATTGAAAGATGGACGTTATAGGATAGTGTGGCTGGAGTCAACTCAAATCTAAAAACGTCTTCATTTGATCGCTTCCGCAAAACCTCGCAAATTGTCTAGGTGACGCAGTAATCGTTTTGTGACGGTTCGACATTCAAGTGCTAAGCAACCTCCACCAGTGAACGATACCCCTGAAGCATTGCCTGGGGACACATCATACAGGCATTGAGCGATTCAAACGCACAATATTTGTCTTAGTTTTTTGCAATGAATATGGTTTACAAATCATTGGGATCATTATTACCTACTCAAAATGTTCCTCGCGATAATAGACTTCTATCAACAGAATATGTTCTTATACTCCATACTTTTCGAATTGAAATAGCTAGGCTAATGAAAGAATAAGCAACTTAACTGTACACCAAAAATTACACGAGGTAACCAATGTTCATTCCCAGCAAACACCAAGTATTTGTCACATATATAACGCAACAACTTCGCTGAGGGCTTTATTGTTCATATTACATAATACAACGAATCCGTCCTACTGGACGGATAGCTGCAGATAGCGGTCATACATTTCCAAACTTTAAAGTCAAATGGATTTAGCAGAAGATTTGTGAATGCTTGTCAGCTCCAGAAATTGGTTTTCCTGATATTCTAAAATTTCCTTATTACATTCCTATGTGAACTATTCCAACATCTGGACAGACGAAGATTAGTACACATTCATGTATTCACTCACAGCTTGAACGGTTATCATGTGCGTGCTTCAGAAACCTTTTAATATTTGGCAATCATTTAGTGTTAACATTGATGAAATGAGTTAAGAAAAATCATTGAGGTTCTGTATTCCGTCCATCGTCGTCATGTCTCAACTGAAGTTAGCAGTAGGCCACAAAAATGCATTAAATATAAGAGAATTAAACATCTTTTAACAAACCAAATTGTTAGCATACAGTTCACAGCCTCATTCAACGGTATACAGCTGAAGTACTTTAAAATAAAAAAATTTTTGTAAATCGCTCGTCCTTATAACCGCTATTAGATAAGTCTTTAGGATGTATAAACGTAAGAAGACAATATGAAGCGGCAACTAGTTTATTACTATACAGAGCAGATCACAGAGCCGCAAGCACGCGAAGCCTATACGAACAGACATACAAATGAGAAGGAACACCAACGTGGGAATGAAGTAACAGGATTTGGGAAGTACAATTACATGGGAAAGAGAATGAGTCGTCGAACAGTTTAAACAACCGAGATTCAAAATTGTATGGGAAATACGGGACTACGCGCCCATAGTTATAGAAGCACAGAGATAATAAGGGATTTTTAGTGACAAAAATGAAACTGTTAAATAAAATACTTAAAGGGTTTGCTAAATTTTAACCTGCATAAACAGAAATGCGAGTGTGTATGCGGATCAGTGAATTGATTTAAGAAGCACGTATATAAGGAAACGAATGAGTCATCCAGAGATTTCGGCTTTTACTATAGTCAGGCATATATGCTCATAAAAACATGATTATGGTTATACAAATATATAAACTAATAGTTACAGACTAAATGACACTGACGGTTAAATAAATTGGTCGAAATGCTTAATAAAAATATACCTATACATATTACGTTAGATGTTTAGGTGTCCGACTGGATAACATAAGTAAAACAGGTGGGTGTGCCACTCTGGAACCAATATATCAAGGTTAAAATCTCATGAATAATTATTTACGAGCATAAAGCACTTAGACTGAAGCTCGTATCAGTTGAGCCTATAGAGTTATGTTGACTTTCTATTGAGTAATAGAAGAGCATCTTACTGTCGAGGTTTTGAGTATTGCGAACTTTTAGTTAATTAAAGAATATCTCTGACAAGTCAACGGTCTGTGAAGTGGTAATCGATTGCTATCGCGGAAATATGAAGTGTTTTTCAAAGCTATGCCTAGCACGATAAAAATATCCATGCTACAGCCGAATATCAACCCTTCGCTTCAATTGACAGTAACAGAGACGAATAAATAAAGACATTGACCCAAGAAAACACATCACAATGCACATATATTTGATGAACCATTGTAGGTGAAAAATGCATGCTATTTCAGACCAATGTAATAAGTCTATTTAAGAAAACCTAGTATACGATAGATGTCATAAAAACTAAGAATAGGCATCCAGCACTACAGGAAACAGATACGAAATTTAAGGAAAAGTGTGACGAAACACATTTTTATTAAGGACAAATGTATTTGAGTGCTTAACTTTTAAATGGCTAGTTAACGGAAGAGCTGTACTATAGAGCCTGTTGGTACTTGATCCATTTTGCATGTTCGCCCATTCTCTTTCAGTTAGTAGTGTGTCCAGTAAAACTAATGAGGTTAAAATGTAAAAAGTTTTTAAAAATTACCCCTACCAATACATTATTGCAAAGTAGACGACGAAATCAAGAATGGAAGAGTATGCAGTCATCGTTAATATGCGTCTTACAGGATAATAAAAAGACACGGCAAGATATATTGTAACAGTTCAATGTTATAATAAAAGTCTAGAAAATATTTTCGGAGCAACCAGAGAAGCAGTTAAAATAACATGAATACAAAATACATATCGAAGGAGAATATCATATTGTCTGAACATCTGTGGAAACAGTAGTGATAACTACTGCTCAGCTCGCCTAGCTCTAAATACCATAAGGGTTGGAGGTAATCTGAACGTAGGCTAATAAAGTCTTTCCAATGATCATGAGTAGTGGTGGGTAGAATAGTCAAAAATGATAGAAAAGGCAACGGCGATAAGCAATAGTAGACAACTATTCAAACTTATCAAGGAAACAAGTATTACACATCCAACTGTTAGTGAGACTATCCCACAAAAAAGGACCATTACCCACCCCCGATTCAAGAGACCCGGTCGATGGGCGGAACACTCAAGGGAACAGTCCAACTGACCCTCAGTCACACTTCAATTAATCACTATCTCCAAGCCACCTGAATAACAAGTATTCCAGTTCTCAGTGAGGTTGGAAATCCTATAAGCAATCATGTATGACCTGTCACCAAACAGAGGTATGCACAACGAAAGCTTTACGAATATGGTACTACGGGTATAAAACGGATCACACACAAGTATAAACGTTCGTATATAATGTATAAAATTCTATAATATTAAACAAAAAGAAATAAGCTTTATGAAGTAAGATATAGCACGTACTTTACCGATTACAATAGAATTTAGAAAATCTCAGATTCATTTCAACACAGTACAACTAGTGATCTACAACTTACAATTTTCTATACAATAAACCATCACTTACTTCAGATATTGGATTTTTATTAACATTTTAGAAAACAGTGCATAGTAATCCAAAAGTGATTTAGTTTTGATGAAATTTTAATTAATTACAAGTCCAACAGTAAAAATCAGCAAAATTAATAATTTTTTATCTGGATACAATATACAACTATGTACAAAGAGCAAAAATCGATAAAAGGCAGCTAGTGGTTGAGATGATTGTTCAAAATATTATGATTATCGTTTGGGTTTGTGTTTTGGATTTCTAGACCCTGATTCACGTTTAGAGTGTTTAACTTTCGAGTGAGAGGTTACAGAACCACGTGAGCTGCCTTTTGTAAGATGAGAAACAGAATCTTTACTTGACAATTTTATAAGTGTATTTGGTGGTAATGGTTTTTGTGAACACTTCGGACAAAACCATTGGGGAACTTCAGGAGCCTTGGAAAGCCCTAAACATGTGCTTTAAGAGAAAAACGAAAAGAAAGACAGTAAATAAAAATGATGAGTTGAAAGGTTCGAATGAAAATGAGGAAAACAGTTGACCAAATTTAGTACGTTAAAAATACTCTTTTTGACAAATAAAAGGCAGGTCAATGAAAAAAATCTAATTCTTTGTTAGTTATTTATAGGACTCAAATATTTTGGAATATTATGATACACAGCTTATATTCCAGATATTATAGGTAGAAGAATTAGTAGTGTTTTGAATGCTGGTATCATAGCAGCTCCTAGTGTTGTATAATTTTAAACAATCCAATTTGACTGGAAAGTTGCACACACCTAGTATCCTTTAGTGGGGTCCTATTACTTAAAATCTTTTCAGAAACTTAATTTGGGTGAGCTATTTGACTTTGTCCAACTAGGTAGCGCAGTGGACGAGTCACGATGAGATTCAGTGTTTTGTCTAGCAACTCTATCACTTAATATGACTTACAGGGCTTTCATGATATGATGACTCACGGAACTAACTTAAATTATAAGGTTTTTCCACGCATTAGTGAGCCTGTCGGTTATAGGAAAATCACAAACACAGAAACGTTGCAAAATAGCCCTCATTGTTTAGCGAAGCCATGAGCAAATTTAAACTGTATTCATGGTGCCATGTAAGTGGAGAAGAGCAGATTATCGTCTGTCCTTCCCATCAAGTTGAATACTAGTTGTAAAACTAGAATTGTTTGAAGATGAAAAAATTGCTTATTAATAAAGGCCAGTTCCGTTGAACATAAAGCGAGAACGTAGTCAAATGTAGGCAAGTAAATAAAAGAGCACGAGTTCAGTTTATATCGATCATGTTAGTAAATATTTTCCATGTAATCAATCAGATTATCGAGGTTAAATAGAGAGAGAGACAATGTAGAATATACGTAATCACCAGAACAAAGTTCATTCTAGAAAAATTGTTTACGTTCTGAGTATATCTCCATAACATGACCCACATTATCTGCAGTAATCTCAGACTAAACAAGTTAATATGAGTAAAAAGTGGATTTATACAAATTTATACATATTTCACCTCTTCTCAAGCAATCCTAAAGATTCTTACATAGAAGTACCATCAGTGAGCTATTCTGACCGTTGTTCCGAAAGCTTATGATGTAGAAACTGTATCACTCTGAAATTAAAGGTCGAATCATATTCTCTGATGGACGAATTTAACAAATAAACAAAAGGAAACTGAGAAATATCTGAAAGCCAACTATTGAATTTCCTGAGTTTTTAGGAACTCCTTCGACAGAAAACTGTAAACGTGTGAACGCTGTATAAATAAAGGGTATGGTAGCCCTGTTACTCATTATAACCAAAAGAGTGGAAATCTTCACTATTCAATGACAGATAATCATTATGACTATATAATTTAACTTACCTATGATACCAATCTTGACAATTATCACAGCCAATCATCAAATTGCCATCATCTTCCAGTAAACAAATAGGACATAACCATATTTGCTCACCATCATTATTCTACGATTAATTACGCAAAACAATAAAAATGAATATAGATGCATAGGATAATTCACTGCAAACAAACACCACCTTTACAAAGATCCGTTTAGAAAGATATTACAAAAATTGCTGTCAAGCTTTAGAAAATGACAGAATGGTACCCAGTAGTAAATTTGTTTCAATTCCTACCACAAACTGCGGTTATTGATTTAGGAAATTCTTACTACTAAAATTCTGGGTTCATGATATCTAACTGGCACTAATTCAAAGAGCACAACAAATGTTATTGATATAAATCAAGTATACACAACTCAGGAATAAATTACGGGTCACTGTAACAAGTCTTGAGGAAAAATTGTTAAATAAGATTTGTAGATACTACTGAGTTACAAATCGTAGGTTTATTGGTTGCTACGTTGATACTCAAATAAGTGAGTAACAATTAGACAGTAACAATATAGGAAACTATGATCTATGGTGAAAAAATATATTCTCCTAACTAGCAGACACTTAATTTCAGGATCCATCAATATATATATATATATATATATATATTACATGGTTATTCAGTCAAGTTAACGAGGTGATTAGTGCACCATGGATAATTCACGGATGCTCTACTAAGAATTAAAGGCTTTTAACTTGACCACAAGCACATAATCTACAAAGACTACAACGATTTACACAAAATTATATTGAGAAATATTCTCTTTTAGTGTTTCTATGTTGGAAATCGCTAAGTGACCAATAAAAATGCATGAATATCAGAATAATGTTACATTTTAAGTAAAATGAGGGTGAAGTGTTGAATAACCATTCTCTTTACTTACAAAATAATATGAGCTGCCAGCAGATTCAACAACGATTTGTGAAGCAGATTCACGGTGAACCATTTTGGAAGAGATGTTATTACTTGATGGGGTTTTGATTGGCGAAGCAGGTATGAGTTTGGATCGGCCACGAACTTTCCCACTTTTAAGTGATGCAGAACTTTTTGTACCACTGGTATGAGATGATAACTTGGTGACAGGACGATATAAAGACTTCTTGTTATACAAACCAGTATGTTTTGTTCGTGGTTGGGTTTTCAAAGGAGATACAGTATAATTAAGAGAGGGAGCTAAAGAATTCGCAGGAGGATTAGATATATACATATTTTCGCTGTTAGATGGACGAAGGGATTTCTGGTTATTAACTGAGTCATTTGAACATGAAGCTGTAAGTGACAACAGAGGGGATTTTTCTTCGTTTTTAGTATCACTATCATCATCTGTAAAGACGGAATCGACTGTAGCACGTGGTCTCTTAATAACTGATTCAGTTTCTGGTGAATGAACTGCATAAGACTGGATCAATGTTCTTCGCTTGCCTAGAGGTAAACGAGAATCCTGATCACTGAGTCTTCTTTTTTTTCTGTCACCGAGACGTGAAGCTAACGAAAAAATATAAGACGAAACTAAATGGCCACTCAGAGACTATACTTTACACTTCCAACTACATTGACGAAAAATTCGAAGCAATAAAATGTTTGGAATATTTGTATAGTTACAACAGAAAATTCCATACTTTGTTAAGCATGCCGTTAAATATAGATGGTTTATTTACACAATTATTTAGTGAAAAAGTAATGGGTCAGTGATTGATATATCTTACTTCTAAGCATTAAGATGTTATTCAAGGAGTATAATACAGTGAAATAAATTTGGAAAGAGAAAAAAGGGACATGAAGAATTCAGAAGATTAGAATTCGGGAGAACACAAAGAGTGAGTGCACCTGCGCCATTGCAAACGATTTTGAGCCATATCATTCAGGGTCTCTAACCATCGGTTGCTATCATCTCGCGGTCCCCAACCAGGTAGTCTACACCTACCGACATGGCTCAGTTCACTTGTCAGTGACTTCATGGATTTGTGCCATGTCTTGGCCTAAACGTCTGCTTTCTTCCAACCTACTCTTACACCATAAAACATCGCTCGTCGGAGAAGCCAGTGTTTGGGTACACGTAACACGTGTCCCAGACATCTCAACTGATGAAGTTTCACTACTTCATCAATTGATTCGCCATCCTTACCTAGTACCTGTTTCCTAACAACTGCGTTACTTACTCGATGGTCACAGGATATACGAGCAATGCTTCGGAGACACCTATGATCAAATACTAGTAACCTACGAATATCCTCTACTCCTACCGGCCATGTTTCACTGCCATAAAGTAGGACGGAACGAACTGCTGCGCAGTAAACACGTCCTCCTTTGCTAGGTCGATGGATATCTCCTCTACTCCATAAATGAGCAAGTTGGCAAAAGCTAGTCGAGCCTTCTGAATCCGTGCTGAGATCTCGTCACACAACAGACCACAAAGGCTGATGACACTCCCAAGATAAGTGAAGCGATCGACACGCTCAACTACTTCACTCTCTATCACTAGTTCGGGTGTCGATGCAACCCAATCCTGAAGCAACATTTTGCATTTCGAGGGGGAGAATCGCATCCCGAACATGCTTGCATTGTTGTTTACGGTGGTAAGAAGACTCTGCATTTTGTCAGCATCTTCACCAAATAGAACTGTCGTCGGCATATTCTAAGTCAACAAGTGAATCTCCTGGTAGAAGTTCAACCCCTGGTAATGTAGATGAGGAGAGTGTTATCTCTAAAAGCACTTAAACGATAAACAAGAATTGATTATTAAATCACTACGTAAATTTAAACCACAATATGCCCCTAGCTATGGATATACCGAATTTTTTATTTAAGGCACTATGCAGTTTATGTATAGAATCGCGTGGATTTTAGAGCCTGAATAATATAGAGTAATATAATGCATTTAGTTGGTCCTTCAAACGTTCTGACTGGCAGTTTAAGAATGGGGTAACTCAATGTGAAATATTGAACGTTAACATACATATCAGCTGAGTTTGTGGAATTAAGAGTAGACGAATTTACAATAGAAAGTAACATAACAAACAATAACCATGAGAACAATTAGTAAACCTAAGATAATTTTTGTATCACGCATCATAGTCTTCCACTAACAAATATCTCATCAAATAACATGAGGATTTCCATGAGTCAGTGGCAATCTCTGACTTCTTAATCTTTCTCCACTGACACTTTAAAGTGTCAAATGACAAACGATGTAATTTTTCATGTGAGTGTACCTTTAGCACAACAAAATACTTCTAGAGTATGTAAATACAAAATCAATAAGGCTTACTTGATTTGGAATTGTCACAATGTAAAGACTGTTCTGTTGAAACTGAACTTGACTTAGATGATAGTGAGATAGACTCCTTTTGTTCCGAAACCGATGAAAATAGTGGAAGAAGAGGTGGAAGGTGACAATGAGTAGCGGTAGGATTAGGACCATTTGACATAATTGTGCCTGGTGAAACTATGTGCTTCAAAGGCAAAATATTGTCTGATTTCTTTATACTGTTTGTTAGGGATGGAGGTGGCAACTGAGAATGATGAACTAAATGTCTTTGAGTGGTAGGTTTAGTCGTTAGGAAACTACCATGACCTGGTCGAGGTGGCAAGCGTTCTAGAGAAGGAGGCGGTGGCAAACTCGCAGATCCCGTAGGACTAATGTGAGGATGAACAACTACTTCTTCTTCACTACTTGAAAGACTTCCTGTAATTGTTGAACTCGTATTTGATGCATTTGAATCGCTACCTTGTGAAGCAGTGCGGCCTCTATATTTTAGTCTGTCGCGAGAGATAGTCAATTGTAAAGGAGGTGGTGGGGTTATTAAAGAACTTGAGTGCTTCTTGTCAACAACTGAAGTGGGATTTTCTGAATAATTTGTCAGATTTTGACTAACCGACTGAGGATGTGTAGTTGCAATAGTCTGTGGCTGAGATGCTGCAATAGAACCATTCCCGAGGCGAATAACACTGAATAGAAGGAAAAAAACAAACAGAAAAACTACAAAATCAAATTCAAAAATTTGAAAATATTTCACGAAATTCGAAGTGTATTATATGGAAAATAAGAACAGACTACAAATTTGATTGTAGATCTATGAACCGTCAAGATTTTCAACTGATAATATGGTATATCGATTAAAAGATAATCAAAACCAATAAACAAGACTGATTGGTGTTTTTCGTAAGTTTTTAAGGTAACTTATTTGCTAAATACAAGGTCATGTACCCGGCACCAGGACACTAGTGAAACTGAAGTAACAACGACAGAAGACGAAATTTAATTTTCGTTTACTTTGTATAGATATTTGATATTAACAAGGTGTACGATAATGGATCTTCATATGTATCGACTACTGAAATATCTTAACCAAGAATAATGTTCTTGGATCCACTTAGACAAAACGAGTATCAAATGACCGATATTCTTAGCATCATAGGAACAGGTAAGCTGATAAATGCACATTAAAGCGGTGAGATAAATTAACTTATACTTTAGGTCATTGGTAAACATAGGTCTAATCAAGACCACTAATACTAACCTTTTAAATTTCATTCACAGTTCTCTTAGCATTTTGAAGAGAGCAAAAACAAAGATTCTAGGAAACTAGCATGAATTTATTTTATTTCGTTTGGTTCTTATCAGCTGCTTACAACCTATGATATTTAAAACCAAAATTACAAGATGAGTTTAAATTACTTACATGAAAGAGTTTAGTTGGAAGTTATGTTGAAGATATATTAGTATAGTACAGCAAGGGTGTAAATAAATTGAGCAGACTGAATATTGTAAACATATACCTCATGTAAAAGAAGGTTCTACAACATTGATTGTGACAACAGCTCAAATGACCAGAAATAAGTGATTACATAATGAGTAAATGCTGGTAGGAATACAATGAGTAAAGCTCAGTTAATAAAATAAGATTACTAATCTGGAAGATGGTTTAAATTAAAACTCAATGGTGTAATAAATGGAAGAAAGAGTTAGAAAAGTTTAAGATGCAACGAAGAAATATTTGTCACCAAGGCAAGGAAAGATTAATAACCATTTACTTTTGAACACATAAGTCAATTTTTTGACGCCTGATAGCAACGGCTACAACAAACTTAAGAAGACTAGAGTTTGGTTGTTTATTAACCACCTTGAAAGATTGCAAGGTATCGACATAATATCCTGTATCTAAAAGATGTTTGGTAATCGCACTGTTTAAAGTCGTTCTTTCTCTTGTTCGAAGGCTTTTTGGAACATGCTTAGAATATTCAAGATGAGCCCTCCTTTCTGTTCGTCCAATGTAGCTGCTTTGGCAGGTGCACGTAAATTTACAAACAAATGGCGGTATTATGAAAAGAATGCTTGTAGGCCTGTGATTGGGTTATTGAACATGTTTTATACAGAATTAATAGTTTGGCTGCCGGTTAATGCAGTGTTAAGCCTTCTGCTGATTGTGTTTGCGACGTCATCACCTTTAAAGTTGAAATTTATAATTATTGGTTTTTTATTGACTGTAGTCACTTCCGTCTTGTTTTCACCAGTGCATTCTTGTAAATAATTGGACAAAAACTACTGAAATTCAGGTAAAGGTCACTCCAAGTAGTTTTCTTGATAAAGCGAACGTTGAACTGTCCCGTCTCTCCTGCGTCTTATTGCAATATCAAGAATGTGGAACATGTCATTCTGTTCTTGTTCCATAGTAAATTGTAAGTTAGGATGAACATCGTTAAAGAGATTTAACAGGTGGACTACATATTTATTTGAACACAAACATTGGTACAATGGGGTACCAAACACATGCGTCACACAATAACAATGAAGCTGTGAAGAGATAGAGAATGTAAAGTGTGTATAGTAAGAGAACAACAACGAACAGAAATTAGTGTATAAGAGTGAAATAATAATAATAACAGTGGGAGAAACAGTTCAGTTAGCAAAAATATAACCAGAAAGAATTCTTTCAATTAAAGTTAGGTTCATTTTTTATGAAGAAAGTAAAACAGTTACAGCAGGATCGCCACTGGCTTCTATCCTGAGCCATTCCTGATAACGTCTCAATTCACTGTGTTGCATAATCTCTAGGACACCAAGCAGAGTCGTGAAGGACCAACTAAAACCAGTCCTATACAGCTTTCTTTCATACCACGACACCATATCATACACTGACCATCTCTCCGCTCTTTCCAACCGGTCCCGGCGTCGGCAAATAATGCACGGTGTGGAATCCTGTGGGACGACATTCGTAAGACATGTCCAAGCCACCGAAGCCGATGTTTCAAGATGATGACACTATTTGAATTTTCGTCGCTGTACCCGAACACGCGTTGCCGAACCTCTTTATTACTAAAACGGCCTGTCACTGGATGTCAGTAATCCTTCAGAGACAACGACAATCAAACACAGTCGTCTAACATATGCATAAAGCAAGACTGCTCACTGACACGTAGATTCGACCTTTTGCAGTTAAACTAACTTCAAGAAGGCGCCAAATATGGACCAGATTGGCATAAACCGCAATAGCTTTCACTATACGTGAATTCATCTCATCACTCATGCCACCACCAGCACCCACGCAGCTATTCGTATACATGGACTCCTCGACTACTTCTATCCGCTCACTACCCAAGGTGAGTTCAAGATCAGGGTCCTGTCAGTCTTGTAAAAGTACTTTCCACTTCGAAGGTGTGAAGCACATACTATACCTATGGACACTTATTACCAACTGATTAAATGCAGATTGCATGACTTGGGTTTAATCGCACAGTAAGACAATATCATCTGCATACTCAAGGTCCCAAAGTCTTTCTCTATGCAACAGATCCACACCACCATTACCTACATCCATCAGAGCTGTTTCCAGAATGTCATCGATGGCGAAGTTGAAGAGGAATGGTGAGATTGGGCAACCCTGCCTAACCCCACTGCTCGAATGGAACAATGGAGAGAAGTGGTTGTATGCCCTCACTCTACTTGAGGTGTTTGTATATAGGGCTTTTAGGATGTTAATAAACTTCTCAGCCACACCCTTGCTGATTTGTGTGCTACACCTATTCCAAATGGATTTATTGATCGCGATGTACGTTCTGATATTTCCTTTACATATAGAATATAGGATGATCCGTTTTTGGATTCTGTTTCTGTTGATGAGTTGGGTTGATACTTTTTGTGAAGTTGCGTGGGTAGACATTCTTTATAAGAATAGTCATTAGATATTTTTCTTTATTTTTTCGCGCTGCAGTGTGTTGAGAGAAAACTGTAAGCTTAAAGGATCCATATAAATTGACAAATTTGGAGTAATTTTGATACGTATTCGACAAACAAAGGGTTTTTAGGATATATAAAAATAGGGTTTAGGACTTAAAACGCACTTATTTATATGGTTGTAAAAGTAAAGAAGCATCAAATTAGATGGAGTGTTAGAAGACTGCACAAAAATAAAGTTTATATTAGAAGTGGTTACTAGAACTGATATTATATAGTATCATGTCCTTAAAGCTTATGTAGATGAATTAGACAGATAGACACTATTGAAAAAATAGAAATAATGAAAAACTCCCAAATTAATATAATAAATAGATGCGATGGCATAAATTAGGCTATGAACTACGCTGCGAATAGAAGTTAGGGATATTATTTAAATATGCAAATCATTAAATATGAACATCGATTTAAAGTTGTGATTAAGAAATTAGATATCGAATCGATTAGATGTTAAAATAAGGGGAGGGTAAACGACGCCTTACAGGATCGTCTAGAAACGCATGCAAAATTATTTGAGGAACGCATGAGACAAAAATTTCAACAACGCTGTTTGGAATCAAACTCAATTTGCTACCTAAGCATCTTGAGGAACGTAACAACACCCATTTTTAAACATTGAGCAGAAACCTGTTTTGTCATAATCTGCTCAGCAATATGATCGCTAAATCTTACTGCTCAAGAATGGATTTTAATAACACTTTGATATTCAATTAGATAGTAATTGTTTTTGGATGAGACTAATGGATTTGTAAGCTGACAAGTGTGTGAATAAACTCTTTAAGCATGGAACAATGACTGAATTTTATTCATCACTGACAAAGGAGACATCTCACAATCTAGACACATTTGAAGACAAAATGTTCGATCTTTTGTTTTACATCACATTTGTAAACCGCAGATTTCATGCGTAAACTGAAGTAATTAAAAATGTAAAATGAATCCTGACTACAATTAGTAGATTAATAGTGGAGTAAACTACACTTTATCCACAATAATTTCCAAGCAAATTACACACACAACAGATATTACATAGATTATTACTGATTTATGAACTTACAGCTTTGGTGTTTTTTCCGTAAATGTTGTTGACTGAGACAATGATACAGAATGACTATTTGGTCTAATAAAATAATTATGAAAGAGAAGAATATATATATATATATAAGTTGTTTAGGATCACATTTCAATATTGTAAATGAATAAAATGCAGAAATTCACTTTTTTATATTAGTGAAAATTTCTAATTTAGCTCCTTATTTTGAGATAACTCAAATAATAAATTCCATTAGTCTTAAAAATGTAAAAAGATGACATATCGGTAAATCCAGTGTGCAATCTAATATTTTGTCAATAGAAAGAAATTAAATCCTGTGGTAAGGGAGTATATTTCATGTTGTGATTTTAATGTTATGCCACACAACTTTTTACGAATTTATTATTATTACGGTATAGACTTATGAAAAATGTAGCTGTGAAGTCTTCCTACTAAGCTGATTTAATCGAGACTAAATCACTGGGTAACTCATTGATTTTATTATACAATTACTTCATTTTGGATAAAGCTTCAAAATTTAAAGACTGCTGTAAATTGGAAAGTCAGAAAAAATAATCTAAAACCATTATTGAATGAAGAAAAAACATTATTGTGTTTGATTTAGATGACCAGAATTCCTAACTAAACTATCCATAAACTGAATCTTATTCAGTCCCACAGTTATAAGTTTCCAGCGATATTATTCTAGAATAAACAGACAAAACTTTCAGGTGAACTGATCTGAAAAGTGAGACCAGACACAAAAGTAAATTCTTTAGGATCTATGCCACAATATATGCGATACGATCTAAGTATTTACTGAATACCCCCCATATGAACAAATGGGAAATATCGGTAGTTTCCATATCTTCAACACTATATAAATCTTCCGCGCAGAGCAGTAGCCATATTGGTCACTTCCTAATTCTTATTAACAACAACAACAACACTGTCCAACCCATTGAATCTCTTCCCCCCTTGAAACCTTTAATAATAATTTAAGTGTGAGACATTACTATTAGTCTCGTGTTACCAAGCTGATGGTTGAATTTTTTAGCTACTAGCATTAAATACTAATAAGAAGACTCTACGAAGTATCTCACTAGCTAGAACTCTGTTATCATGGTTGTTTTGTTTACGAAAACATATGTAAGCACTGAAGTATTTTTTTCACTTAACCTGCACTGACTAATGTGATGTAGCGGCACAACTTAAAGAATCTCTGACGATTTAACGGTAGGTCCTTATACGGTTGTAAGTATGACAACAGAAAGAATTTTTGATCGCAGTTAATAGTAGTATGCACGATACTCGGGTAATTTTACACTACAGAAATAACCATAAGTTAACTTATAAAAGATAATCGTTAGAAGTTTACTAAAAACTTGGAAAAAAACATGTACTTCACATATCGCATAAAGATAGGATACGGCATTTTGAAACGGAGTTTTATCAACAGCAGGTAAGCTTTCATCTCATGCCAATCGTAACATGCAATTTTTCTTATAAAGATTCCTTTAAATATTAATATCAGTCGTAGAAACATTGTACCGAAAATAATAAAATCAATCACCTGTCCTTATCCACTAAGTTCAAAACACTATTTTCATTCGGTTCCCTTTTGAATAACTGGGTTGAATTTTGTGACTGTATGTAATGAGCTGTTGAGTTGTCTTCATCCCCTGAAGTTGACTCTGATGAAGATAAGGAAGAAGATGATGAAGGGGAAAGAGATGAAGCAAGATGTTCTTCGTTTAATGTCCCGCCACCTAGTTTGATTGTAATGCGCAATCCTCCATTTTTATCGCTGATTTGCTTGGATGACAAAGGCTGTGAATTTGTAAAGAAGCAACTGCTGGAAGTCGACACCAATTCCGACTGTCTGGACTAAAAGGAAAATAGTATTTATATCAGAACTATACAGTTTCCGGCCCAAACTAGTATGTAAACTAGTTTATAAATGTCTAGAAACTAATTGTCATTGTACGAAGTAGTTAATTTATAATGAGCAAAAAAAGTGATAAATCATTCCAAGTTTTAAAATCAACATAAATCTATGATAGTCAAACTAATACATAAATTAAACTAGTTGTAGCTTAGAGCTCGCTAACTTGATAATCCAACCACGATGTCAAAAACCAATAACCCTTTAAGATGCTAAAATCTGTTGTGTTATTATTAATCATCACCATTACAACAGAGACTAGAATAGTACTGATCAATAGTGTGCTTTGGATTCAAGATAACTTAATTAGAGCAAATTAATTAAAGAGTAAAGTAAATATGGCATGATATTTATTCAGTTTTTCGAATACATCTTGTCTTTCAAGTAAGAATTACGATCAATCTTGAAAACTTGTAATTCGATTGATTCCACGAATGAACTCTTAAAAAAATATCATATAAATATATGAATAGCAGAATTTACTGATTACTGATAACACATAATAATAAAATAAACTTACAGGCATCAAGGTAGGAGGAAGTGCGGCAATGTGATCACTTTCAGCAGATGTTGAAAACAAAGAGGAAGAACATCGTTTTTGATCAACCGATTTACTAGATAAAGGAAGAAGAGGTGGTGGTCCAACTCCTAACGTATCCACTGGTGGAGAGGCAGTATGAGTAGTATGTATTTTATTATTGCAAGAAGTGGCTGGAGAGGTTTTTTTAGAATCTGAAAAATTCACAGGTGATAGATTTGTATTGACAGTTTTCTGAATACAGGAGCTTGAAAATAAGGACTTATTTACACCTTGAGAAATGTCATCTCCGAAATTATCACAGCCTTTTACATCATTCATTTCTGATTTTAAAAGCAGTGATTCTTCAGGTGAAGATTTTGAAGTAGAAGAAGAGGAGAGGGAGGAATCAAGGGATGATGGAGAAGAAGGTAGCGATCTTAATGTAATTGATGCATGCTGTTGCAGTTTACCAAAGCTTTCTTTGCTAAATACCGGATTCTCTGACTTCAAAAAGTGATTATTGGGAACCACATTAAAGGTGGTAGTTGAAGTGTCCTTCACAGAATTATTATCTATACAAAGAATTCTAAGAAGTTCTGCTCTTTCACCAAATGTCATCGGTTCAGTTGTATCTGATGCTGGGGAGCAGATAGTTTCCATTCTTACATCAGAAGAAAACTGTGTGGTGATAGGTTCATTTTTTATAGAATCGTGAAAATCGTCTGCATTTAGCCCTGTACGCCTTCCGGTTTTATGTACTGATCGAGTGGGTCGAGAACTTTGGAAAGAGTTGTCTGGAACGACTGCAACAGTTTGGTGATCATTTACGTTATTGTCAACCTTAGGTATACGTTCGAGACTTTGAACAGTCTGGAAAGAACGATTCTGTGACTTAATGTGAAGCTGAAAAAGAGCAAGAGACGAAAATAGTTTAGCTAGGAAATAAGTCCATCGGTCAAATATAAACAGTTATTTAGCCATCTACAACGTAAGACCAGGCACATAAATGAATCGGTTCAAGATGCCATACTCCATTAGCACAACAACATGAACACCAAATTCACAGAAGCAGTTACTTCAATGGTAGTAATATATAAAAAATATTGCATATAAGGATATGATACAGGGAGAAAGAATTAGTTAGAAAGAAAGATATAAAGCAATTTTAGTCTCATAGTTGGTTACGATAGTCATGCGGATCCCAACCAAGTAGTCTGCATCTACCAACATGGCTCAGACTAGAAGTCAGTGTCTTCAAGCACTGATGCCACGTTTTGGTTTGGCCGCCCCTAACTTTCTTCCAACCATCTCCAACACCGGTTAGCCTTGCACGTCGTGGTAATCGGTGTCCAGGCATACGTAACACGTGGCCCAACCATCTCAGTCGATGAAGATTCACAACCTCATCAACTGATTTACCATCATTTCCTAATACCCTGCGTCTAACCTCACTATTACTCACCCGGTGATCCCAGCAGATGCCAGCAATATTTCTAAGGCATCTGTGGTCAAATACCAGTAGCTTACGAGTGTCTTCTACTCTTAATGGCCATGTTTCGCTGCCGTAAATTAAAACAGAACGGACTGCCGCGCAGTATGCTCGTCCTTTTATTGATAGACGGATATCCCGCCTTCGCCATAGGTAACGCAAGTTGGCAAAAGCCAAGCGAGCTTTTCGAATCCGTGCTGAGATTTCGTCAGACACCAACCCATTAGGGCTGATCAGACTTCCAAGATAAGTGAAGTTGTCAACGCGTTCGACTACTTCACACCCTATCCTTAGTTCAGGTGTTGACGCAGGCCAGTCCTGAAGTAACAACTTGCATTTAGAGGGAGAGAAGCGCATTCCAAACATTGTGGCATTGTTGCTCAGTGCTACCAAAAGACTCTGCATTTTTTTTTTAACTCTGCATTTTATCAGCGTCTTCACCAAACAGGACTATGTCATCTGCGTATTCTAAGTCGATAAGTGGACCTCCTGGATTGATATCAATACCCGAGAATTCAGTTGACGGGAACGTTATTTCCATCAGTAGGTCTATAATGAAGTTGAACAAAAATAGCGATAGTGGACAGCCTTGTCGGACACAACTTGAGGTTGCACAAGCAGATGATAGTTCGCCAAAAGCTCCGGTTCGACTGGTAGTGTTCGAGTAAAGAGCCTTTATAAGGTCTAAGTATTTGTGAGGTAAACCCTTCAATGACATATAGTGCCACAGAACCTTTCGGTTTACAGAGTCAAATACTGCTTTCAAATCAAGAAAAATTATCATTATCGGACACCGATAAGTATGCCTGTGTTCTAAAACCTGACGAATAGTGAATATGTAGTCGATGCAGAAGCCACAGAACTGTGAACTATGTATTCGTCTACAATTATCAGTAGCATTATTATTTTTAGTTTCTCCTTAGTTTCACACTATGTTTATGAGAAGTTAAGTAGTTAATAAACAAGAATCAGTTTTATGACTTGAATGCTAGTGATCACTTACGTAAATCAATACACACTTAAGGGGTTCCAGACAAGCTGCTTAGATTTATACCGATAACCGATCGCATAAATATTGTGTTCATATACTACTATAATTTTTTGCATTACTTAAACAGTTGAAAATTGACTAAAAAGACTAAATAGTGACTTTCGGATTAGATTCATTTAATAAACTGGTGTACAACTTACTGGATCTGAACACTTCCGCAAAGGATTTTGAAATAAACTATTAAATGTCGAAACTCGACACTTATCTCTTTTTCGTCCACGAGCTCTCCGCCGAAATGGGTGTGATTTAAGTCGTACACTATTTTGAGTTCCGGATGAAGTACTTCTTTCCGGAATGTTCAAAACCTTTAATTCAGATAGTTCAACACCAACAGATTTCATGCGATTCTCCAGTCGTTTCGGTGAAGTAACTAAGCTAGATGATAAGACACCAGATGTTATCAGGCAATCACTATTTACAGGATTCCGTAATGGAGGAGTGCATGGTGAATCATGATCAGGATAATCTTTTCCATTCCATACAGTTTGTTTTTCATCTCCTGGATCTACTTTAGGTGCCATGGAACTATCATCAGCGGCTTTCTCTGGTAAGGTTACGGATGTTTCTTCTAAAGATTTAGGCGAATCTAAAAAAAAACCAGCAATGGCAAGATCAAACAATTGTACACAACCCTAATAGTATTTGAGGTGATACTGGAAGGTTTATCGAACGGCTTCTAAGCTTGTAGATGTTCTGAATGATTTTCAACATTACTGGTTGTCGTACAAAGAATGCCTGAGATATTCTATGCAATTTCCATAAAGCATAACACTAAACCATAAAAAACAATGGTTACTTGTTAAAATAAATCTCAATTATAAGGTGTATGGTGAGTATCAATGGATATATTATTTCACATGGTGAGTATGTGGTAATCTATTACGTACAAGTTTAAATACAAGGATTCCCCCGATAAATCTTCCTCGTAATGTCTAACGTTTTTAAATTTACCATCTCAGTCATCGTAGTTCATTATTCTTTTTTACCGTGATGGCAAGGAGAATCTAAATGTATCGACGGACAGTAGATATAAATTCATATAAAATATTTATTTATGGAAATGATAATTCTATACGAGTGTTGCTTGATACTTCTGAATTAGTCGAGGACTGGTGAAAGAGCAAAGATTATCTTCATCATGTCCATCTATGATCAGAATTACTTTCATCTTGTCTTTTACTTACTGAGAACCCATATAGTGTTCGGGAAATTTTCTGAACATTTTTTATAAACTCTAGGAGAGACTATAAGTGGAGATTGTAACTCAGTTCTGAATCACTTCAATTCTTGTTTAGTTCAAATAATGCACATAAACAAATTCCAAGTATATACCAGCTGCAATAAAATACGCTTACAACCTAAACAAGTAAATTAAAAATCACATCAAAATATTGGTTATGTCACTCGTGGACTTTCAGTTGGTGTAAATCACCGAAGTGTTAAGAACTTATAATCGGATCATAGGACGAAACGGATGCTTTATATTTATGGTTGTCAAGGTGAATGAGGCTGTTGAGAGAAAGGCTAACCTGGTATGGTTCAGCATCCAAAATATTGGTGCACATCACTCCATTTTTTATCCAGAACAAAATCTTTCACGTACACTTAATCTCTGTATTCGCGTTTTATGAATATATCGTATTTATTGCTGAATAACTTTTGTTTCTACGTGACGACTCGAAGAGCTGCATTGTTTTTCTAAGTTCTGTTGTTGGCCTCATCATATGAAAAACACATTGGAATAAATTCTGCTCTGAAAAACATGTGCATCCAGAAACTCAAACCACCACTTAAAATCTTATAATCAATTTAGTTAAATGAATACTTACTGATTGTATTTGATAATGTAGAAATATCAGAATCTAGCGGAGAAAGTTCTGTGTTGATAATATCTTCTTTGAAACTGGAATGTCCACTTGTCGGATTCAGTGGTTTTTCCATCGAATTAGTATTATCTGAATGTTGCTCTATGATAGGAGAATTTGATCTACTTGATTTCGAAACACGTTGCCTTGATAATTTACTTGCTCGACCTCGACCAAACTTAGAACACCTGTTTGTTCGACGTCCAGTAGTCAGTCTCGGAATTTTTGGAGCTGAAGAATAACTAGGAAGGAGTAAAGAAAAATACATCCACGTTGAACACTAGTGAGTCAGTTTGTTGTTTTGGAAAAAATACACAGAATATGCAACTTATTGGAAATAAAAGACAATGACTTCAAATAACAGTAACATCACTTGATTTCAGTAACGATAACACTAATGGAAATGGTAACAAGCCTAATCTCATCTTACATTAGTGGATAAAATACAGTAAAATATTGTTAGAAAAGTTAGAGAAAATTAGATTAAAATCAAGATAACTTGTAAAAAGTAGTAGACTATTGCTTGGAAACTAAGTATTATTAGGATGAATGCAAACCGAATGTTTCATCCCGTAAGTAGTAATAATTTAAACTCCGAAATTACGTTAGTAAAATTCAAAAACTAGACTTTAAAAAACAGGGATAAAATGTGATTCATCTAGTGGGTAGAAAATTTTTAAAAGTTAGTTCTGAAGTATGATTATATGCATACATCTAGAGATTTAATACAACAATCATAGTAGACAGCTTAGAACATTGGGGTTTCGTAAGACTTTATCTTACTAACTACTTAAGTTAGGTTGAGTTTTCTTTTAAAAAGTGGAAAGAATTATTTACACGAAAAGTGTATGAAGGAATGCACAAAGTACTCTATACTTTATAATATAAATGAACATTTATCATTTTATTATTCAGTTCACTTGATTGAATTGTGAGTTGAAAAAAAGGTTATTATGAGTTTTTAACAACTGGACTCACGCAAGTGAGGAAGCTTGTCGTTTATACCGTGAATCTGCCCCAATAGGCTGTTTAACAAACAACGGTGTACGTGATGAATTTGCTGCTCGTCTAATATGTGTCCAAGATGGTGTGGAACTAGGATCAAAACGACTTGGAGTATAGACGATTCGTTTCGGTTGCTGCGTCGACGGAGTAGCCTATAAACAAGTAGAAAAATGAAATAATAGTGTAACAACGGTTATTTAGGTTGATAAAGGTTTACTTTTTCTATTGGTTTTATAAGAATCCGATGAATGTTCCTGACAGATTTTTTTAAGTGACGATATATTTTTAAGCTGAATGAATGCTACGTGACGAACAAATAAGACTTAATTGCCTGATTGCCACCATGAATTAAATTAGTGTGAAATTCTTTCAAATACGTGTGACTGTCGTTCGACACTTCCTAATACTTTCTACAGAGGTTGAATACCCCCTTAACAAACAAAAACTCATGTACAATTATCACTAGCAACTGACTGCTGAACAATTTACGAATATCCAGTCAACTAAAACTTCGAATATAAAATGTCAAGTTAGATAATCAAGTTAAAATGTAATGTGCAAGCCATGTGATGAAATTCGTTATTCATGAATTGTTACAACGACTTTTGTGTGTATTACAAAGCTAACGAATGTTCTCTAATACGCCTTCATCAGTGTTTATCAATGAATTGTTAATAACAACTTACTTTCTCCCTAAAGATCAAAATAAAGATATCATAGCCGAAATAATGCTGCGTATAACAAATCATTCAGAGGAAAATTTGGAATTTAGAATAGCTTCTGGTGGTCGAATAAAATGAACTGGAATAAGATTAAGTGTTTAAACATAGAAAATCATTATGATATGATGCAAACCGTTCGTTGAAAAGACAAATATTCAGTAAGTTATCGTAGATAAAATCTAGATCTTAGCAGCTTATTTGTTTTGAATCGCCAACTTACCTCTTCTTCATCAATTTTATTCGAATTCATGCAAATTCTTGAAACAAAGTTAATGAACTCTAAAATGTAAACCTAATGTATTCTTCTTTCATAGATATAATGGAAAAATAAATAAACATGAGACGTAGTCACTCGCCTCAGCACTATGATATTCATGACGTGAAGAAAATATGCAGAAAATTTCGACTAATTTTATTACAAAAAGATTATTTAACCGCCATTATTTCTTAAGCTGTGTACGTGATACTATTAAATGACATAAAATTTCGAGCACTAATGCACTCGACTCTCAACTGTTAGATAGTTGATTCAAACCTTGCTCCACCTATTTTGGTTTGGTAAGTTGATTAACAATATCACTAGCCCTATACAATAAGTATATCTCTAAGACAAACACATAAACATGTACTTCGTAATTGAATTACACTGTATTTATTACAAAGCTTAACGTCACAACCGAATATGACAGATATTAAGTAGTCGTTCAAGAGGGTTAGTTTATTCAATTAAAATCCTAAAAAATTAATAACTCATAAAAGCGGAATAGAATTTGGTGAAAATGAAGTTATTTGACGTGAAAATGAACTAATTCCAAAGTGTGAGTAATTTTAGTTGCGTCACATCGACATGCTCCCATGTATTATGAATGTGATGCCTAAAGATTAATAATTTCAACAACAAACATGAATTCAAATGAATACGTTAATATGTTAATAGTGAGCATGTATACACCAATATAAGTTTCAGTTGTCACATAATGTCAGTAAGTCAGCTACAACGTAGGACCAGGCACATATATGCATCGGTCCAAGTTGCCATACCGCATCAGCACAACAAGATGAACACCGGATTCATAAAAGTAGTTAACTCAGAGGTGGTAATATATAAAAGAAAGATTGCAATAAGGATATAGTACAGGAAGAAAGAATTAGTTAGTAGAAAGAAAGATATACAGTGATTTTAATCTCTTAGTTTAAGGGAAGACAGAGAGTGTATACAACTACGCCATTGTGATCGATTCTGAGCCATGTCACCAAGAGTCTCCAACCATTGGTTACGATAGTCACGCGGATCCCAACCAAGTAGTCTGCATCTACCAACATGGCTCAGACTAGAAGTCAGTGTCTTCAAGCACTGATGCCACGTTTTGGTTTGGCCGCCCCTAACTTTCTTCCAACCATCTCCAACACCGGTTAGCCTTGCACGTCGTGGTAATCGGTGTTCAGGCATACGTAACACGTGGCCCAACCATCTCAGTCGATGAAGATTCACAACCTCATCAACTGATTTACCATCATTTCCTAATACCCTGCGTCTAACCTCACTATTACTCACCCGGTGATCCCAGCAGATGCCAGCAATATTTCTAAGGCATCTGTGGTCAAATACCAGTAGCTTACGAGTGTCTTCTACTCTTAATGGCCATGTTTCGCTGCCGTAAATTAAAACAGAACGGACTGCCGCGCAGTATGCTCGTCCTTTTATTGATAGACGGATATCCCGCCTTCGCCATAGGTAACGCAAGTTGGCAAAAGCCAAGCGAGCTTTTCGAATCCGTGCTGAGATTTCGTCAGACACCAACCCATTAGGGCTGATCAGACTTCCAAGATAAGTGAAGTTGTCAACGCGTTCGACTACTTCACACCCTATCCTTAGTTCAGGTGTTGACGCAGGCCAGTCCTGAAGTAACAACTTGCATTTAGAGGGAGAGAAGCGCATTCCAAACATTGTGGCATTGTTGCTCAGTGCTACCAAAAGACTCTGCATTTTATCAGCGTCTTCACCAAACAGGACTATGTCATCTGCGTATTCTAAGTCGATAAGTGGACCTCCTGGATTGATATCAATACCCGAGAATTCAGTTGACGGGAACGTTATTTCCATCAATAGGTCTATGATGAAGTTAAACAAAAATGGGGAAAGTGGACAACCTTGACGGACACCACTTGAGGTTGCAAAAGCCGATGACAGTTCGCCATAAGCTCTGACTCGATTGGTAGTGTTCGAGTAAAGAGCCTTCACAAGGTTTATGTACTTCTGGGGTACGCCTTTCAATGATAGACACTGCCACAGAATCTCGCGGTCTACCGAGTCAAATGCTGCTTTTAAGTCAAGAAAGACCACTATTGTCGGACGCCGGTAAGTGTGCCTATGTTCTAGAATCTGACGAATGGTGAATATGTGGTCGATGTAGCCACAACCAGGTCTGAAGCCAGCTTGATTCTCTCGTGTTTGCAGTTCACGATTCTTAGTTAAGCGTCTGATAATTATCGAGGCTGGTATTTTAGATACTATATTAGTTAAACTAATCCCTATGTGGTTGTCACAGGATGATTTTAACCCTTTCTTATATATTGGGACGATAAGTGATTGTGACCAGTCAGATGGGATAACATCTAACTCCCAGATCTGAGCTAAAATATTAGTCAACCTAATCGCTAAAATTGGACCACCATCCTTAAAGACCTCTGGAGCCAATCCATCTGGACCAGCTGCCCTTCCTCGTTTCAGATTAACTATAGCCTTTTCAACTTCTGCTAGAGTTGGGGGACCTACTTCAATGTCCCATTCACACTGTCTGGGAATGGAGGGTAGTTGTAGAGTAACTGAAGGCCAGCTGAACTGTTCTCTGAAATGTTCCGCCCATCGTTCTAAACGTCTGGACTGAGAGCAGATGAGGGTGTCGTCTTTTTCCGAAATAGTCTCACACTTGACTTATTAGTTCCAGTTTCTTTTATTAGTCTGTAGAGCTGTCTTGTGTTTCCTATAGCCGCCGCCTTTTCCATCTCTTTTGCTTTCGTTGCCCACCACTGCTCACGGTCCTTCCTTAGACTTTTGGCTAACCTAAATCTGATTTGTTGTCGCTCTTCATCGTGTTCACAGCCTGATGGGATGAGTTTACGAGAATCCATCAGTGTGATAGACCTTGAAGAAATTCACTGGTTCTTTGTAACTCTGTGGTTTAAGTCACTAATAGATGTCACTGCTGTTTCCACAGCTGATTGTATGCCTTTCCAAGCAACATCTGGGTCAGCCTAGTTTTCAGAACTACCTAAGTGTGACCTCAGTTGTTCCTGGGACCTACTTTTGGTTTCCTCGCTACTCAGTTCGGTTCGAATGGGTCTTTTTACTGTGGCTTTTTTGCGTCCAGTGAGGCGCAAGCAGATGCGTGCCCGTATTAGGGCGTGGTCGGAGTCCAAGCAGGTATTCCAGAATGAGTGACAATCTTCTACCGACCCTCTCTAACGATGACTGATGGAAATATGGTCTATTTGAGTCCATCGTTGGTTTGGTGTAGGGGGTCGCCATGTTAGACGATGTCTCTCCTTATGCTTAAAATTTGTGTTTGCTAAAAATAAGGGATTGTCTGAGCACAGTTGCAGCAGACGATCACCATTATCTGTTCGTTGTGCCGGAATACTAAAATACCCACCTAAATGCCTTTCTGTTCGGTTTAAACTGCCTACCTGGGCATTAAAGTCACCTGCTACGAGTACTATGTCTGAACGTTTAACTTTCTGTAAAACTCATCTTTCACTTCATCTGAGCTGCAGTCGGTGGAAGCGTAGGCAGAAACGACAAAAAGGCAACGACATGTGTCCCTATCCTTCCGAGTTCTTACGGAGCCGTTTAGCCGAACAGCACATAAACGACTGTTAACGGGGAACCACTCTGACAGTGCTTGTTCCGCCCTCATGCTTAGTGCTATCCCTACTCCTGCCAGTCCACGAGAGCTGGCCGTCGGGTCACCAGATACACGGAGGGTGTATCTCGTTGGCTCTCCGTTTTGCCGAGATGAGGTCAAGTGAATGACCACACTGGGATCCTGTATGCGTGTTTCGGAGACACAGCATACATCAATGGTACGAGATTCTAGGGTTCTAGCGAAGGAAGCCTGTTGACTGATTTGACATAGGGTGCGTATGTCACATAATGAATAGAAAACTTTCGATCCCGTACATATAGATACCCATTATGTTCCTTATTACCTTTCTACGCTGCATAAATTAAAAATTGCTAGAAACCAATGTATATTAAAATTCAAAACTCTTATCAACGAACCTGTAAGAGTATTCCTATTTTTTGGACAAAGTTCATGTCAAGCAGTTCGAAAGTAAACTATGGAAAATTGCATCTCAGCGAAATAAAAAATAAATGAGTAATCAACGTATAGAACAAATTGGCATACTACCTTGTCATAAATGACGAGTCAACAACTCAATTAAAATAACGTGACAAAATTCATAGAAATAAATTATATATTGGAAGTCAACATTTCAAAATAATTGGAAGGTCGTCAATGAATGAGCAGTAACCTACTTGTAGAGCAGCTGCCCACTGTGCATCACTAGCACCACATTGTTTTGCAGGTGAGGATGGAGACACATATGGATTTTTTGTATCCTCTGGTGTTGAGTCGTATGCAAGTTCTCTTTTTGAGATAGATGAAAAGTAATTATTTGTCGAACCCACATAATTGTCCGGAATCGGTGACTCCGACAAAACATCAGAGGCTTTCCATGGAGGACAATGCTCCACCAAGCACTTAGTTAGAGGATCAACTGAAACACACGTCATACGATATGTAGATCTGTTGGCCCATTCAGGAAGTGTACGAGCAACGGTTGTTACAGCAGTACTGGTTGCACCAGTAAGACAATTGGAACTAGTAGATAACGTATTCGGTGAGGAAGGAGATAAACAAGCATTGAAAGCAAATTCTTTGATGCTTGGTTCTGCCTGAGATGTTTGACTTCCTATGAAATATTCTGGAAGTATTTTTAATACTTACCAAAGTCCTCGCGATAATTTAGCGGCAAATGGCGAGGAATGAAGGGTGGCCGCTCTTCTAATTCAGGATGATCTTCAGGTGGGATATTTAAACACGATTTTCCGTAAACCGGCCCACATGTCATAGTAGGCGCTCGAGTAAAAAACTGACTGTTCTCTATGACAAACTTGGCAAAGCCTTGAGGCGTTTGACCCATCAAACGCAAAGCTAGAAGTCCATCTGCAACCTGTGCATAACCGTCTGGGAAAATATCAACGGAAAATATGGATACCTGAGGCCGTCAACGTATATACATTTCTAACTAAGGAGAGGAAATATGCTTCCACAACGCTAATTAACAATTCAAGTGAGGCTTCCGTGATTTGTTCGAAGCCAACTTGACCACAGAGCTGAGCAATTACCTGAATCATCGCACTTCTGAAGTCACTTGACATTGCAGAAGAAAAACTGAAATAAAAATCAAAAAATGTAGCGAGTTTTATGCACAATTAAAATTTTCGGTATAATTTTATGACTACTTAAGAAAAGGAAAAAGAATTTGAATCACCTAAAATAAATCAATTTTATCATTGCCCTATACAGGCTGAAACAAAAGATAATATTTGACTAGATAGAGTCGAGATACAGAAGTGGATACAATTACACATTTATTTATTTATTATGTATTTTAACACATAAATACTGGTACTGTTATGTTCTGATAAACATAATGAGTGGTAACTTTTGGGATCCAGTCAGTCAGCTACAACGTAGGACCAGGCACATATATGCATCGGTCCAAGTTGCCATACCGCATCAGCACAACAAGATGAACACCGGATTCATAAAAGTAGTTAACTCAGAGGTGGTAATATATAAAAGAAAGATTGCAATAAGGATATAGTACAGGAAGAAAGAATTAGTTAGTAGAAAGAAAGATATACAGTGATTTTAATCTCTTAGTTTAAGGGAAGACAGAGAGTGTATACAACTACGCCATTGTGATCGATTCTGAGCCATGTCACCAAGAGTCTCCAACCATTGGTTACGATAGTCACGCGGATCCCAACCAAGTAGTCTGCATCTACCAACATGGCTCAGACTAGAAGTCAGTGTCTTCAAGCACTGATGCCACGTTTTGGTTTGGCCGCCCCTAACTTTCTTCCAACCATCTCCAACACCGGTTAGCCTTGCACGTCGTGGTAATCGGTGTCCAGGCATACGTAACACGTGGCCCAACCATCTCAGTCGATGAAGATTCACAACCTCATCAACTGATTTACCATCATTTCCTAATACCCTGCGTCTAACCTCACTATTACTCACCCGGTGATCCCAGCAGATGCCAGCAATATTTCTAAGGCATCTGTGGTCAAATACCAGTAGCTTACGAGTGTCTTCTACTCTTAATGGCCATGTTTCGCTGCCGTAAATTAAAACAGAACGGACTGCCGCGCAGTATGCTCGTCTTTTTATTGATAGACGGATATCCCGCCTTCGCCATAGGTAACGCAAGTTGGCAAAAGCCAAGCGAGCTTTTCGAATCCGTGCTGAGATTTCGTCCATTTATGGACCAATACTAAACGTATATTTTTATCGTATAATTGTTAAGTAGCTACACTATTCATATTCCTCTTATTATGAGCCTTATTTTGACGTACGAACTATTATTATGCGATTTACCATTCTTAAATTATTCCTTGTCTATTAATCACTACCTCCCACATTCACAGCCACATTTGGCCAGATGTTGTTTCCTATTTTATGGTAAGATGTGGTCTGTTTGATTGGCAATATAAACCCCGTATGTTTGAAATAAATGATTCATATTGCACAGGCTGAGATTGGTGTTCTGGACACAACTGGCTGGGCTGGGCGGAAAGCAGGACCAATCAGGACTCTAGACTGCTCGCACGCGTTTTATGCATCATTGGTTCGATCGATAATTCACTGCTCTCTAATTGGCAGTATCGTGACGTTATCCATTAGCAGGGCACAGGCTTCAAGTCATAACATGTACAAAGGGGCACTGAATATATATGTGTCACACAAGTCACTTGATTTGTGTGCGGGCTCTGATACTACCCGGATACCCAGAACAAAGCAGGTGGTTTTCTTAGGAGGCCACACCCGGAGCCTTCGACCTAAAGGTCTGACCTACAACGCAGTGGAGCAACGTCGGGAGACGTAGTCCTATGGTAGCCGGTGACCAACGATAGGTTCATACGCTATTTGTTCCCTCACAAACTCGGAGCCCATGTACACCACTGGCTTGGAATCAGGGTCTTCCAACTTCCCTAGGTTCATCCTCCGTATCCGCTGACACGGTTTAAAGCGACGGACATTCGCTTTTCGTCCTCTTGATTTTGTAAACAACAACCCACCCACGAGAAGGCAGTGAGTAGGACTTCCCTGGCAGTGGTTGTATGCATGCGGTCACTTAAGAGCATTTCGAGGAGAGTTGACTCTCCCCACTCTCGGCCTTATCATGTCATTTGAGGGCCATGCAATTAAAGGTGTGCTACACAAATACTCGAAGCCTACAACATAAAATAGCGGAGCTCAAGACAGTGGTGGATATAGAAAACCCGGATGTCACTGGTGTCTTAGAAAATGCTTAACGTTCAGTCAACATAGAGCTTCGTACGTACGTACATCAGTTCGAGTTGCCACACCACATTAGCAAAGAGATACAGTTGTCGACTCAAATTCCGTAGTGGTAGAAGTAGTAAAAGTATAAGCAGTATTCGGAAACATTAGGGCCTGAAGATGTTATCCAAGGAGTATAATACAGTGAAATAAATTTGGAAAGAGAAAAAAGGGACATGAAGAATTCAGAAGATTAGAATTTGGGAGAACACAAAGAGTGGATACACCTGCTCCATTGCAAACGATTTTGAGTCATATCATTCAGAGTCTCTAACCATCGGTTGCTATCATCTCGCGGTCCCCAACCAGGTAGTCTACACCTACCGACATGGCTCAGTTCACTTGTCAGTGACTTCATGGATTTGTGCCATGTCTTGGCCTAAACGTCTGCTTTCTTCCAACCTACTCTTACACCATAAAACATCGCTCGTCGGAGAAGCCAGTGTTTGGGTACACGTAACACGTGTCCCAGACATCTCAACTGATGAAGTTTCACTACTTCATCAATTGATTCGCCATCCTTACCTAGTACCTGTTTCCTAACAACTGCGTTACTTACTCGATGGTCACAGGATATACGAGCAATGCTTCGGAGACACCTATGATCAAATACTAGTAACCTACGAATATCCTCTACTCCTACCGGCCATGTTTCACTGCCATAAAGTAGGACGGAACGAACTGCTGCGCAGTAAACACGTCCTCCTTTGCTAGGTCGATGGATATCTCCTCTACTCCATAAATGAGCAAGTTGGCAAAAGCTAGTCGAGCCTTCTGAATCCGTGCTGAGATCTCGTCACACACCAGACCACAAAGGCTGATGACACTCCCAAGATAAGTGAAGCGGTCGACACGCTCAACTACTTCACTCTCTATCACTAGTTCGGGTGTCGATGCAACCCAATCCTGAAGCAACATTTTGCATTTCGAGGGGGAGAATCGCATCCCGAACATGCTTGCATTGTTGTTTACGGTGGTAAGAAGACTCTGCATTTTGTCAGCATCTTCACCAAATAGAACTGTCGTCGGCATATTCTAAGTCAACAAGTGAATCTCCTGGTAGAAGTTCAACCCCTGGTAATGTAGATGAGGAAAATGTTGTCTCTATAAGTACGTCAATGACAAAGTTAAATAAGAATGAAGAGAGTGGACAGCCCTGAGAAACACTACTTGAGGTAGTCGATTCTGATGACAGTTCGCCACAAGCTCTCACTCGACCAGTTGTGTTCGAGTACAGATCCTTTAAAAGGTTAATGTGCTTCTTTGGTACTCCTTCTAGTGATAAACACTGCCATAGAACCTTACGATCAACAGAGTCGAATGCCGCCTTAAGGTCGAGAAATACTACCATTGTGGGGCGTCTGAACGTATGTCTGTGTTCTAGGACCTAACGTAGTGTGAATATCTGGTCTGTACAGCCATGCTCAGGTCGAAAACCAGCCTGGTTTTCTCTAGTCTGCTCTTCACGAGCTCTAGTTAGGCGTCGAAGTATTATTGTGGTTAATATTTTAGACACTATATTAGTCAAACTGATTCCTATGTGATTGTGGCAAGAGGACTTTTGTCCTTTCTTATAGACTGACACAATCAGTGATTGAGACCAGTCAGATGAGATTACGTCCAGTCCCCAAATTCTACCTAAGACTTCAGTCAATCTCACTGGTAATACTGGACCACCATCCTTAAAAATCTCAGGAGTAAACCTGTCAGGGCCTGCTGCTCTCCCTCGTTTCAGATTTCCTATGGCTTTTTCAACTTCGTAAAGGGACGGAGGACCTACATTAACTTGCCATTCAGGTTGACTAGAGATCGTGGGAAATCGAAGTGTGGCTGAAGGCCAGTTGAACTGATCCCTGAAGCGTTCTGCCCATCGTTCCAATCTCCTGGATTGAGAATGTATAATATGTCCATCTTTCTCTGAGATTGTTTCGCTAACAGTCGGTTTCCTTAACAAGTTTGAACAATTGTCTGCTATTACTTATTGCCGCTGCCTTTTCCATCCCTCTCGCTTTCGCTACCCACCATTGTTCACGATCATTGCGTAGGCTTCTTGTCAGCTTGCGCTTAAGCTGACTCCGCTCTTCGTTACGTTTAGAGCCAGATGGAATGAGTTTTCGAGCATATATATATATATATATATATATATATATATATATATATATTCTTAGCTTGACTATCATTAAGTAGGGCCCTAAGAGGTTTTCTTGCAGCGCCTTTTCTACGTCTAGTAAGACGCAGACAAACAAGCGCTCACACTAGAGCATGATCTGAATCTAAGCATATTTATTTATTTGAACACATATATATTGGTACAGGAGTGCGCCAAATATATATGCGCCACACAAAACTATGAGAATTTGAGAAGAAAAAGAAAAAAAGTGGGGAACGTAAAAATATATATAAAAAAAACAATAACGAAGAGATTGGTGTAAGGTAGCGTAATAATAATAGTGATAGTAGGGGAACAGAAGTGTACAATCAAAAGAAATCTTTCAGTTAAGGAAGATACAACCACGTTTTATGAAGAAAGTAAAAGAAGGTTACAGCAGGATCGCCACTGGCTTCTATTCTGAGCCATATCTGATAACGTCTTTAGCCACTGTGTTGTACCATCTCTCGGACCCCAACCAGTGGGTCATGAAGGACCGACACAAGCCAGCCCTTTACAGCTTTCTTTCATACCACGACACCATGTCATATACTGACCACCTCTCCGCTCTCTCCAACCAGTCCCAGACCAATTGCATTGTCGTCTCTGTGCCCAAACACACGACCCCGAACCTCTGCATTACTAACATGGTATTGTCACTGGATGTCAG